CAAACCGTGAATTTTTCACTCGCAACACTAATTTAATTAATTATATAATATGTACAAAAGCATACGCGTGAAGGCTGCTCCATTATACGCAACACTAAGCTGAAAAAAAGAAAAAAAGAGAAAACGCGAACTGTAACGCAACACTACTCAAATCTACCGAATTTTGTAAGACGCAACACTAATCTAAAAAAGGGGTACAGCCAATCCAAGGCTGTATCATGGCAGCTGGTCCATAGCTGCCTTATGGACCATGGCAACTCCACTGGATTGTTTTTGGGCATTTCATCATATATCGCAACTCTAATGCAAAACGCGAATATTCATTACCGCAACACTAATTAGCAGGGAACTCTATAAACTAATGCAAAGCAATCGCGTATTTATAAGTCGCAACACTGGGAAACAATCGCGCTAATGTCATTCGCAACGCTATCTTTAACAGACATGCAATTAAAATGCAAAACAAGGGGATTCTCAAACCGTGAATCTTTTACTCGCAACACTAAAGCAATAAACATTAAAAAGCAACACTCTGAAAAATCTTAAAGCAATCAACATTGAAAAGTTAAATTCTATTTTAAAGCAATGCAAGAAAGAAACGCGATATTTAAAGTTCGCAACACTAAATGAAAATCGCGATAATCATGCATACGCAACATTAAATTGAACCGTGATCGATATTCATTCGCAACACTAAATTGAACCGTGGTCAATATTCGCAACACTAAATTGAAAACGCGATTTGCCCAAAACCATGGGGGTCACGGGCCCCCTCTTCTCCTGCAATTACAAAACTACAACTACAGACAAGCACAGTGACAAAGTAGTAACGATAATGATTTCCCATCCTTTTTTGCAAAAGGATGCAAAATCATTAATAGTTCCCCTCTTGAAAGACAGTTTGTCGGGGCGCTTCGGCATATAGCCTTTTCTTTCTTCGGGCGGTCCACCCACCTGAAACTTATATCTAAAGCTCGAGACTTGCAAATTCGCAAAACAAAAAAAAAAACAATCAACAAAAATGAAAAATCGCGAAACTCTAATTGACACGTGGACGAAAAAGGACTTTAGATAAGTCGTTGTTCGTGCACACGTGCCGTGCTCGAGCAGAACTTGTGCGTTTCGTGCCATCGCGATCGCGTATGACGACTTAAGAAGTCGCAAAAAATTTGAAAAATTGTACAGATAGAATCGAAGGCGAACGACATACTCCGTTCGTATCGATTGAATCGTCAATTCTTCAAATATATTCCAGGTACAGGTTGATCACGCGAAATCGCGCCTACCCGACCAAGAGACTGTGACAACCTGTCCCGGCCCTACCTACTTACAATCTATCACACACACCAGAAGGTATACTACCTACCTACCTAACCCTATATTTAAAAAAGGCAAAATCACATTCTCACAAAAATTCATTCCACGACCCCCATACACTCCACCCGGGCGCAGAGCCTAAACTAGGGAGAACGTCCCGGGACGCCTCCGTCACCCGAGCTTCATCTCACATCACACTCTACGGTACGTACCATTTTTCACTGAAATCGTCTGGCAAGGCTAGCAATCATTGCGTATAATGATAATTATAAAATTTAATTAACTACTTTGATATAGAATATTTCATAATAATGGTAATAATCATGGTAATAGTAATGGCAATATAGTAATAGTAATGGTAATAAAATAGTATTTGGTTTGTACATTCATCGTACATCTTGTTGAATAAAATATTATTTCAAATTAAAAGTTAAATGAAAATGTTATTAAACCGACGCAATCCCACAGCCTAAAAACACACACACCATATGTGGAAATTACGTCGTGCACGATATACTAACACAATGCCAGCCGCTTATTAATTATTATTCTTATGAACTAGGTCATCGTGCCCATTGCCTCTACTCATCCAAGTAGCACCTGGGCACGTGAATGGGCTTTGGCAATAAACACGGAAGGGGTTAAACCTGAAAATCCTGATCTAAAAACATGATTAGTACATAAACATTTAACGGGCTAATATTTCACTATTTTAATAAAAGTGACTCGACTTTGTAAATATAAAGCTTTAAGAACAAATACTGAAAAGAAAATAGAGCAACTATGACGCAAACATGGTGCACTGCTAATATCAGCTGGCAACGAGGGGTCTCACGCCCCCTAGACTTACGCCAGACGCTACATACCACCCACCCCGCCTGGACGTCGTAACGCCAGGACAGAGTGCACCCCTTCGCTAAGAGCGCTACCCGCCCGTCCAACACGTTGCATCCAACGGTGTCAGATTGACGGACGCCCATAGTATAGACAAAAGGACTACAGTTTAGAATATGGTAACATATTTTCATGTGTTCCGTATTCTAAATCTGCGCCTGCAAAGGCCTAGTAATGCATGGGTATATCTCCCAGAGATGGTGTTCACGGTCTTATGCCGCGGAATCCTTGTAACTAATTTGATTAATTAAATAATAAAAAGGATTGAGTTTAAAAACCAAAAGGATTCCCACCGAATACTAGTCAGTGCATTGTCATATTTACTCTCGCAAAATTTTAATAAAAAAGAATTTAATGTCTTTAATTAAGAATTCTTTGCAATGAAACAAGAATTTGTTGTGAAAATTAATAAAACATCCTCGGGCGACTCCCTCCTCAGAGTAAATTTTCAAGAATACGCAAAATGTGTTGAAATAGATCACTCTGGGTTAGAAATCTACCCGTCACGAATTGTCTTCTTGCACATAAATTGTTCATTTTTTCATGAACGTGTAAATAAGTTAAACTTCGTTATTGAATGAATGAAATTTTAAAAAATTTTCAAATCATATTTGAATTTATAGTGTACAAAATCAATATAATAGCATCATTAATATGTATATCCAGTATACAGATTACATAATACTATCAATATTATATTGCTTTGAACCATCGCAATAATTAAGTCAGATAGTATTTTCTATTACAAACAAACTAAATAAAATTGTTTCGGTATTAAAATATTCTAATTCCACAGTTAAGAATATTTAAGAGCATTCATATATTGCAAAAATAGCTATTGGAATATGTGGAATTGAAATGATATTAAAACGCGGAGTACAAGAAAACCTAGCCTAATCTAAATGAAATGAAACAATAAAAATGTCACTACTCATGGGTATAATCATACCCATGGTCACTATGCTTGTCTACCACGTATACAACTAGTAGCCCGTGTCGATTAGGACCATTCGTCCTACGACATGATTGGGCACCAGAGGAACCATAAAACATGCGACTCACCGTTCGCAGATATACTCTTCTTCCGACAGTCAAGTAGGAGGATGGACAACACCAGGTAGGAGGCTGCATTGTAGAAGAAGAGGGAAGTCGTGAAGAAATTCATCTGTAACAAAAAAAGAAGAATTACGGTTAATTTTGAAAATTATAAATTTTTATTCTAATAAAATTATATATGAAATTGAATTTTATAAAACATTAGCAATTAAAAAGAAATCTCAATTATCAAGTATTGAAATTGTAAATTATTCTATTTTAATAAAAAGCAATTAAGTGACGTACCAAGTCGGAAGTCGTGAAGAAAACCATCCTCAGGATATCCAGGAACTCGGCAAAAACAAAAAATTCATCTGTAACAAAACAAAAAAGAATTACGGTTAATTTTGCAAATTATCAATTTTTATTCTAATAAAATTATATATGAAATTGAATTTTATAAAATATTAGTAATAGCAATTAAGAAGAACTCTCAATTATCAAGTATTGAAATTGTAAATTATTCTATTTCAATTAAAATTAATTAAATAAAGTAATAAGATACTTACACTCTTTCCTTATGGAGCAACGCCCAAGACTCCTCTTCAGTGGTGCATTGACTCTAATTCCGGGTATATCGAACAATTAAAAAAAAATTAAAAATAAAAATAGTAACGCGACCGTAAATAATTTCCGGCGAACAATTATAAAGACTCTACTTTCACGATGGAAAAAGAAAAATCAGAGCCGCGATGCTCTAGAAAATATTTTATAATACGTAGCAAACACTGACTCTACTTTCGCGTGATTCCTAACTATACAAACGCAACTCTATTCAGGGCCAGTTCACCCTTGAAAAAATCAAAACATTGGAAATATCTTCGTACAAACACTGACTCTACCGACCGCATTGCGCGCGGCCACAACAATTCCTGAAAGAAAAACTTGGTGAGCAGGGATGGGTTGGGTGGAAATAAACAAAACAACATTCTTCTTATTGAGCATTCGTAACGAAAATACTGTTATTAATGGCTTGTAAATGAAAATATCAATGTTCATGAAATATATTCGACGAGCACATATATTGTTAAAGCTGAATATTGATCCTAGATTGAAATGAAATGTTTTAAATAATTGTCGATAATTATTTCAATGAGTATTACATCGATAGAAAATCATTTTGTAATAAAGATAATAGACTATTGTATTAAAGCAGAGGATTTTTGTTGTTAAGATTGTAAGCATACTACAAATTGTTAGAAATTCTATTACAGTATGATTTATAAATTATCTAATTCGTTTCAATAAGCAAAGTCCAATAATTAACCATGCTTAAACAGCATGTGATTTAAAAATGTGATTCTATTTTTATTTAATCTTGCATCGAAAACTGGATATTATAATATAATTACTATGATTTAACAAAAATAGATTGTTTAAAATTATTAATAATTGCAGAAGAGAAGTAATCATTTGCAGTAGAATACGAATTATTTCAATTTTGTTCTAGTTTAAAACAAATGTATTAAAATATTGGACGAAATTATTCAATAAAATGAAAAATTAATTATTCTTTTTCTATGATTTGGTTAAAGAAAAAAAATGTCTTTAATCTTTTCTTTCTTGACTTTGGAAGCAAGTAATTATCAAAATTCTTACAATTAACAACAACTATAAAAAACAAGTAATAATAAATGTTAATAATTGATTAGAATAAATTAAAACAATAAATTCTTACGAAATTCTACTTCAAACCCATATCAGATGTCACGGCGTCCTTTCAATATTCATCAAATATCTGTAACAAATAAGAAATACCAATTTATGTAAATAAAATTTATTCAACAATAATAAAATTATTACTAATAAATGATCGAACTATAATTTATACAAAATATATTAATAGGTAAGATGCGAACCTACTACTTATACGGAAGGATGCTCTCAACACGTCTTGTCATTTGGACGTTCGCGAGAGAAATGACGAGACCATCCTTCCTGCCGAAGACCGATCAGCACGGTTCGGTATTATTCGGTAATGTTCGTCCCCAGCCGAACTGAAGCCGGTAGACGAACAGATCTCATAATATTACGATGCTCAAGAAAAAAGGTTATTAAATATCAAACAGTAAATTGTGTGAAAGAATATTAAAAACGTTCAATATTGGTTAGGAAATTAACGATATAAAAGGGAAAATAATTCAAATTCTGCTGTTCCAACCTCATTGTACAATCGCGACAAGAGCACAAATTTTCAACTCTTGTAGTTTTGAAGAAAATGCCGAATTAATGTCAAAGATCAAGAATCTAGACTTCTCTTCGATGGCTTTTTCTCTTTTTTGTATTTTCAGCACCCGAAAGACAATTTAATTTAATATTTGAAGATAATTTAATCTTACCTGTTGCAGACACGTGAAAGACGGACGAAGCTTCAGAGAGGACTGATGCATTGCGCCACAAATCAACGCACTCGCTCACACAACGACGTGTCTGATTGGTCGAAATGAGAGGACGCCAAGATGGGACGACCAATCACAGCCATCGATAGAAGTTTCAAAGTGCTTCGCAACTTCAATACTATTCATAAGGGAAAGGTTCGTTAAAAATTATCGACGCCATATTGAAATAAAATCAAGATTACTTTTTTCAACTTTAAACACCAAAATATAAGAAACAAAGTAGAGAAAATATAAGACATTGACGGGATTTAAGAAATTATTGATATAAAAGCAGAATAAATGAAGGAAATGTTATTTTAATTCGTATCTATATCGGCGTAATAGTAAAAAACGAGAAAATCAATTATCACGATATATAACAACAAATTACGGGAAAAATCTACTAAAAACATGAAAAAATGCAATAATATTCGAATAATTATTGATATAAAGGGAAAATAATTCAGATTCTGTTCTTCGAACTTCATTGTCAATTCACGGCAAGAGCAAAAAACTTCAACTCACGTATTTCTAAACATAACCTCGAATTAATGTCAAAAAACAAAGAACTAGACTTCTCTTCGGCTATTCTTTATCTTTTTTGTATTTTCAGCACCCGAAAGACAATTTAATTTAATATTTGAAGATAATTTAATCTTACCTGTTGCAGACACGTGCAAGACGGACGAAGCTTCAGAGAGGACTGATGCACTGCGGCACAAATCAACGCACTCGCTCACACAACGACGTGTCTGATTGGTCGAAATGAGAGGACGCCAAGATGGGACGACCAATCACAGCCATCGATAGAAGTTTCAAAGTGCTTCGAAACTTTAATGCTAATCGTAAGGGAAAGGTTCGTTAAAAATTATCGACGCCATATTGAAATAAAATCAAGATTACTTTTTTCAACTTTAAACACCAAAATATAAGAAACAAAGTAGAAACAATGTAAGATACTGACGGGATTTAAGAAATTATTGATATAAAAGCAGAATAAATGAAGGAAATGTATCTAATTTAATTCGTATTTATATCGGCGTAATAGTAAAAAACGAGAAAATCAATTATCAGGATATATAACAATAAATTACGGGAAAAATGTACTAAAAACATGAAAAAATGCAATAATATTCGAAAAATTATTGATACAAAGGGAATATAATTCAGATTCTGCTGTTCCAACTTCATCGTGAATTCACGGCAAGAGCAACAAATTTAACCTCACGTATTTTTAAAGATAACCTCGAATTAATGTCAAAAAACAAAGAGCTAGACTTCTCTTCGACTATTCTTTCTGTTTTTTGTAGTTTCAACACCCGAAAGACAATTTAATTTAATATTTGAAGATAATTTAATCTTACCTGTTGCAGACACGTGCAAGACAAAAGAAGCTTCGAAGAGGAATGCTGTAGAGATCAAAGTTGTCGCAGTGAAGTTGGCGCACTAACACATTTACGTCGCGTCGGTGAGGCGATGCACCTCGCACATCTAGGAATGTGTAGCCAACTTCACTGCGACAACTTCGATGGAACTCGGTGTACCAAGTGGGACTAAATTTCATTAAAATATTATATTGAACCGTATTCCTGGCATCAAAAGTACAAAAAACGGAAGGAGAAATTGAAGAGAAGTCTAGGTTCAAGATGTCTAACATCAATTTGTCATGATCTTCAAAAATAGGTGAGATGAAATTTTGTACTCTTGTCGCGGATTTAGATTGAGATTGGAACAACATTATCTAAATGATTTCCCTTTTGTATACACCAATTCAATAACATTCATCCTTGAGAATCGTAATATTATAAAATTTGTTCGTTTTCCTTGCTTCGGTATCACGACGAACTTCGAACAGTATTCGTAGGAACGGTCGCGTTAGTCCTTTCTCGAACGTCGAAGTGTTAAGACGTGTTGAAGGCGTCCTTCCGTGTAAATAGTAAATAGGTATATTAATACTACGTAATCTATTAAAATATCGTGCATAAATATAATTTGTGGAATCAGATCGTTTGTTTGTCACAACTTTATTGCTGTTGGTGAATTTTTATTTACATAAATTTGGGTTTATTATTTGTTACAGATATTTAGTTGATATTGAAAGGACGCCACGTGATACGATGTCACGTGATACGACGCCATGACACCTTATATTTGTTTAAAATATAACTTCGTAACGAATTGGTGAGTTTTTTGTATTGAATCTTGTTACTCTTTTCTTTTATTCATTACTTTATTCAATTGATTTTAATTCAAATGGAATAATTTATAATTTCAAAAATTGATAATTGAAAATTCTTCATAATTGTTAATACATTTATAAAATTTGAATTTATAATTTTACAACAATCAAAATTGATTATTTTTAAAATTAATCGTAATTTTTGTTTGTTTTGTTAGGTACAGGTGAATTCTGGATCTCGCCGAGTTCCTGGATTTTTCTGGATAACATCCCTGATGACTTCCTTCACGACTTTCTTTTCCTCCTATAAGGCAACCTCCTACCTGGTTGTTGTGCATCCTCCTACTTGACTGTCGGGAGAAGATTTTTTCTGCAAACTGTGAGTCGCATGTTTTATGGTTCCTCTGGTGCCCAATCATGCCGTAGGACGAATGGTCCAAATCGGCACGGGTACTAGTTGCATACGTGGTTTGGCGAGCATAGTGACCATGGGTATGATTATACTCATGTGTAGCAACATTTTTTTTGTATTTCATTTAGTTCAGGCTAGGTTTTCTTGTGCTTTGCGTTTGAATGTCTTTTTAAATCTATATATTCAAATGAATAATAGAAGTTATGTGAAATATTTTTATGTTGCTCCAATCTTATTTAATTTTTATATAATGGAAAAGTCGTATCCCATTTGATATTTCAAAGATTAAAGTAAATATAATATTAATAATATAATATTAACAATGCTTTGAGATTGATTTCATTACATTTGATACATTGTAAATTCAAATATACTTTGAGAATTTTTTCCAAGTAGTGAAGTTAATTTACTTATATGTTCATGAAAAATTGAACAATTCATGTGCAAGAAGACAATTCGCGACGGGTAGATTTCCAGATCAGAGTAATCTACTTGAACACCTTTTGCGTATTCTTGAAAATTTTCTCTGAGAAGGAAGTCGCCCGAGGATGTTCTAATCTTTTTTTATTTTTCAGAGTAAATTCATTTTTCATTACAAAGAATTTTTGAATCGAGTCATTTTGCTTTCATTGCAGTAACAAGTTCAAACTTTACAATTCTTTTCAATAAATTAATATTAATTAAAATGTTGTTTTTCAATATTTGCTCGGATCACTTTTATTAAATATCAAGCAACTGAAATTGATGAAATAATAGCCCGTTAGATATTTTCATACTAATTATTTTCTTAGTTGAGGATTTTCAGGTTTAACCTTTCCCGTGTTTATTGCCAAAACCCATTCACGTGCTCAGGTGCTACTTGAATGAGTAGAGGCAACGAGCACGATGACCTAGATCATAAGAATAATAATAAACACGCGGCTGGCATTGTGTTAGTACATCGTGCACGACGTATTTTCCACGTGTGTGTGTGTGTGTGTGCTTAGGTTGTGGGATTGCGTCGGTTTAATAACTTTTTCATTTAACTTTTAATTTGAAATATTATTTTATTCAACAAGATGTACGATGAACGTACAAATCAAATACTATTTTATTATCATTACTATTACCATATTGCCATTACTATTACCATGATTTTTACCATTAATATGAAATATTCTATATCAAAGTAGTTAATTAAATTTTTTGATTATCATTATACGCAATGATTGCTAGCCTTGCCAGACGATTTCAGTGAAAAATGGTACGTACAGTAGAGTGTGATTTGAGATGAAACTCGGGTGTCGGAGGCGTCCCGGGACGTTCTCCCTAGTTTAGGCTCTTGCGCCCGGGTGGAGTGTATGGGGGTCGTGGAATGAATTTTTGTGAGAATGTGATTTTGCCTTTTTTAAATATAGCGTTAGGTAGGTAGGTAGTATACCTTCTGGTGTGTGTGATAGATTGTAAGTAGGTAGGGCCGGGACAGGTTGTCACAGTCTCTTGGTCGGGTAGGCGCGATTTCGCGTGATCAACCTGTACCTGGAATATATTTGAAGAATTGACGATTCAATCGACGCGAACGTATGCCGTTCGCTTTCGATTTTATCTGCACAATTTTTCAAATTTTTGGCAACTTTGCAAGTTTCAGTTGGGCGGGCTGCCCGAAGAAAGAAGAGGCCATGTGCTGAAGAGCCCCGACAAACTGTCTTTCAAGAGGGGAACTACTAATGATTTTGCATCCTTTTGCAAAAAAGGATGGGAAATCATTATCGTTACTACTTTGTCACTGTGCTCGCTTGTAGTTGTAGTAGTTGTAGATTTTCAGGAAGAAGATGGACCATCGTGATTTTGAACAAATCGCGTTTTCAATTTAGTGTTGCGAATGAATATTAATTACGGTTCGATTTAGTGTTGCGTATGCATGATTATCGCGATTTTCATTTAGTGTTGCGGACTTTAAATAACGCGTTTACTTTTCGCATTTAAAATATACTTTTGCTTTGTAATGATGATTGCTTTAGTGTTGCGAATGAAAAATTTTAATTACTGTTCTATTAAAAATAATATTCCCTTAGTGTTCGAATTTATAAACTCGTGATTGCTTTGCATTAGCTTATAGAATTTTTTCCTAATTAGTGTTGCGATAATGAATTTTCGCGTTTAGGATGTGACAGTGCATTACCCAGAATGGTAACTTACCTACAGGGATAACACAAGTTCTGAGGTTCTTGTATATACTAATTTGCTTATCGGTTACAGATTTCTGTTCTTTTCCAAGAGTTGGCAGCATCAAAACATTTTCTTATAGTTGGTCAGCCTGTATTGAAAGAAAACTAACCTGTAGACGTTAACCCTGTCACATCAGATAATTTTCTGATCCACAGTTTTCGTTTGGTGAGTAGTTTTATTTGACGAAAGCAATCCGATATTCTAAACGAAAATAGTAATTAGTACTTGACTCGCGTACATCAACTTATGTTTAACAATATAACCAAATGCAAACAACATGCACTACATAGTTGCACAGCCCCTTAAAGAAATTTTCAATAATTAAATATGCATTTATTTACATATAATACACGTTATTCGACAAATTCTTTCTACTCATGATTGCATTATACATATATAATTATGTGTATTTGTATGAATTGAACAATGGTAATACATACTAGTTATCTCACGGATACGCCTACATGTATCTGAAGAAAAATCAAATATGTTTGCACGTGTGGTCGTGTTCAAATTTGTTAATTAAATCCGGGAAAAATTATTGTACATAACGGAATAAATGAATAACTTATGACGTACAAGCTTTGTTAAACTGCTTTGCTAATTTCATCGTTTCGATTTATTTGAACATCACAGAAAAAGGTTCGATAGCATGATATTATTAATTATTTTGGTTGTTCGAGGGGATAACAACATAGGAAGGTCTTGTTGCCCCCCAAAGAGTACGCGAGTAACGCAACATCCTTGCCAAAACGGGTAGTGTATGATTCTAAGCTTCTCTTTCCACCCCATGGATCCCACTGCGATGTTCTCTTACATATCTCGTGGTGTTTCATTCTTTTGTTGGGCATTAATGGTAACCTGCAAAAACGAATAATGAAAATCCAAAGATCAAGAACAAAAAGCTCTTTACCTTTCGTTCAGGCGATTGGTAGTCGAAGAATCGTATTCATTTGTTTTGTTATAAATGCGAAATGGATTTCGATAGGGAAAATTAACATTTCCTTTTTCATTATTTCTTCCCTTGGCGAATCCGTATTCTGGAATATATACAATACAACTTAGGGATCGCTCAAGGGGTGAAACAGGGACCAAAAATTCAGGAGAAAGCTTGAGGGATAGGCCGGGAATCCGGGGAAACTTGAGGGAGGAGGGCATCACCATTTTTCCTAAGGAAAATATTGAATATCGGAATACTGACCTTTCAAAATACCAAATATAGGGAGGTTATCAACGCGTTCCATTAGAAGTCGCAAATATCGTTCTCGATCGGTCGATTTTCCCGCTCTTTTTCCACCCCAACTGTTAAACGGAGTCTTCCATCTGACTTTATCCATATCTGTCGCCTCCCTTTTAACGTCGTATCCGTCGATGGATCCGTCTCGATCATACCGATCGTACGTCGTCAACTTGGTTCGTTTCACTGGGAAAAGTATCGCAGCCGATCTCGAATACTCTTCCCCTCGTTTACCACCCCAGCTATTAAATGGCACGCGAATCGGTCGACGAACACTAGAACTTCCTCCGTCCGCGTTTTGTCTTTTCCTGTTTCCCCACCGATAAATCCACGGATTCATAGCCGTCGTCGTCATCGTCTTTTTCTTCTTCTTCTTCTTCGTCTGAGAAAGAGGAAGAGGATCCTGCTGCTCCTTTAGTTAGAATAATGAAAGTTAATTGTTATTCATAGGAATGCAGATAAGGGTGGAAAGTGTATACGCACCTCGCTTTCCTTCGGCAGATCGTACCATGATTCTACGATTTCTCTTCTCTTCGAAGCGGTGTTTGCGAGCGAATTTATTCTTCGGTTATATTCCGCATTATCCGTGGCATCGAGATACTCGTTTCTCCTTCGTCCATCTGGAACGAAGTTCCGCGTAATTTAAAGTAAAAGAAGAGAAGGAAATTCTAATTGTCACTCACCTGTTGAGCGAATATTTGGATCGATTTGCTCCTCGTATATTTCCTCTATCACCAGCGGTTCCTTTTCTTTCCACGCTTCCAATACGTCCATAGAAGTTTTTCCATCCCGATTATCGATCGACATATCGTTGTTTTCATCCCCTGGTTGTGCTACGTACAGGCTGTTGACGAATTCACAGCTTCCGATAATCGCTCCAATCAAAAGACACACCGTCGGAACAAATGACCACATCTAGGGAATAAATTATTTTGCAAATATCTTGTATTTCGTGATAAATTCTTATTTGGTAAACAAGGAGCACGTGCATCTGCTTCCACCGTATTGATGCTACGAGCTTTCCGCCATTGATACGCGGGCTAAAACTGAACACGAGAAAGAAACTGAATGCGTAATGTATCTCTATTTCTATGTTTCGTTGTGTTTGCTGAGACGTCAGAAAGATGAATTCATTTGATTTAAGTGATTATAAAGAATGTCTGGTTTTTAAAAAAATCTTCTGTAAGAATAAAAAAGGGGGACAATACGGTTTATTTGATGGAAATAAATACGCGCGCGATTGCACATAACACGGAAATAGAGGTATTAACTGTAAAGTCTTGATGAGAAGGCAACGTAAGCGCGCTGCAATCTTCTTTGCAAAAGAAAAAATAATTCACTAATTGTTTGTTTCTGTTAAAGTCGCATTAGTTGTATCCCTAGAAACGCCGTAGAGGCTGCATTAATTCCTTTTCATGTCTAGTAAAATGTTTATGAATCCAACTAATTATTAGAATTAATGATAACTACTGATAACTAATAAACAGTGACGATGACGATGAAGTATGTCTTGTTCCTTCTTTTTCGTTCCTTGTCATCGATCGCGGTGCTTTTACAATGATAATCGAATAGTGTACGGGGGAGGAAATAAAAATGCATTTTTGTCAGCGTACGCGTTAAAATGGTTAGCGAATGCTTTCAAACCTGTCATAACAGTACTTGTTCGTCTTCGCAAACAATTTGCGACCAACACTGTGTCTGATATTTAGAATTTTTTCTCTCAAAACGCTTGCTTTAACAATTATTTTTTCCCCTATCCCGCCCTTATCTCGAGTTTCTTTCACTAATTTTCAAGTAACTTGGATGCGCGCAACAAACACCGTCGAATTATCGCGTACCTTTGCCCCCAAAAAATATTAATTTCTAATTGCAGCTAGATTACTAGGAAAAGAATAATTCAAAATTTCTTTTTTTTCGCGTATGCATTTGGAAAAGGCATCGCTATCGGTGTATATTCCGTAATTTAATTAGTAAATGCTCTCACTTACCTTTGAAACTGTATCTCGTGCTCGAAAACTACGTGGGATAGTTTTTGATTAAAAAAACCTATGATGTTAATTACCTCGCAAAATAATGTACGTATGATCTAGCAACGCGAGGAGATATCGCGTCCCTTTTTTTATGTCGTTTATAAAGAATAACAGTACTGTAAAGATAGATGATACACAGGACACTTGCGAGCTCCGTTAATACAAGCTATGCAGTGAAGAGTTGACGTTACGCGCCGCTCTTCTTATAGGTGCCATCCACGTGGTTCTACAGCGCACTCTCAAAAACTCAGCCCAGCCTTTAACCATCCATTTCCCCATTACCATCGTCACCTCTCTACTCGATATTTTTATCTTTTCATTTCTCCTCATCTTCCACCTACTTTTCTTCTCGCCTTCCTTACCATCTCTTACCCTTCCTCTTCTTCTTTCTTGGTACCATCATTGCGGTTACCGAAAATCGACTCGCCTTTTCACAGCGAATACAAAAATGTGAGTGTAGGGATGAAAAATTATAAGATAGGGAACAAAGTAAAATTAAGTCAAAAATTATGTGTCGAAATTGGGCGAAAGAGCGAATTTTTTGTTTAATGAAGTAGTAATTGAACAGTAAGTTGGTGAAAAACGACGACACTTTAGAGAATACAAGGACAAATTGAACGTACGGAGAAGAAAGATAGAGGTAGCATATGTGCGTATCGGTTAATAATGTATTTCTTTGCTTTTTACAAAATTATGCTCGCATTGCCATCGTAAATCCCCGTCCGATGTGGTAAAGGGCAAAGACACTGGGTCGACGTAACGAAAGTTCGCGACCGATTATAATTTTCAATGCGAGGAAATTTCGGTAAAAGGAAAATCTCCCTTTTTTCGACGATCAGTTTATTCGACGATACATGTTGCAACATTTGTCATTAAAACAATAAGTCTTTGAAAATAATGAGCAGTAAGTAAAACACGCGTCGCTATTCATTCCAGTCGATAGATTCATTTGCTTGCTACGTTTCTTCAGAACATTTAACATACTTTGTATATTCGCATTAGCATTTCCTTTGGCAACGACACGACGCGTTCCTCGTCATCCGTAGGCGTTAAGATCACGCTGTTACATGTGCTTTGTAATATAGAATTAGGTACATCATACGAGTAATAATAATACTGAACAATCGGATGAGTATCAGTCGAGTAATGATCTTCAGGTTCGAACACGAGGGAAAGTATTAATTAACAACAGGTCTAACAACACTCGTTGCGTAATTTTATTTTGACAAACATTGAGCAAGAAGATTAAATCGGAAGCGAAAGAAGGAGAAATCGCTCAAAGATTTCGATCATTCCCATAGATTGCATTCATTGATTCATTAACAGGTGAAGGTACTCTTTTACCTCTCGCCACGTAAAATGGATCAGACTTGTTCAATAAATCCTCCAACATTCCTCGGCCATCGCCGAGCTTCGTTCTTTTTATCGCTCTTCCAAAATGATCTCTGCATTGCGTCGAATCGCATTCTAAAATTTCTATTAATCGCTCCAATATTTCTTTCACGGCAAGATCAAAGTTCGAATATAAGTTTGAGTCGAATCGCTTCGATTTCGGTCTTTCGAATAACGCGCTGTCGTCCTCGAATCGATGATCGTCCATTTTGTCGCTCGAGTGAAAGTTTTGTCCACTCGTTCGTAGGAGATCAATCAGTGCAGGCACGGGTTTGATAATGGGTAAGCACCGATTCGTTTTGTGCATACCTTTATTAACTGCGATAATGCAAAAAGGGTCGAAAAAATGTTCAACAAAATGATCCGCGTTGGTTGAGTGAAATTTCTTTGGACGAATTCGAATTTCTTGCGACGTATTCTTCCCTGCCCTTTGTCTTTTCTGCTCCTCCCCGTCCTCGTAATTTTCATCATCGTCGTTATCCTTGTCGTAATTTTCATTTTTTAATTTCAAATCGGAAAACCTTTTATTTTTCTTATCAACGAAACGATTTCGAATAAAAACATCGAAATTCTGCGACTTCCTCAACAATTCCTCTTTCAAGTGATCGACAACTCCGTCGATCCTCTTACCTCGCGATATAACGTAAGGATCGGTGGTTTTCAAACGATGAAGCGGTTGACTTTCTCCATAATCTTTATCGATCTCAATCCAACTCGGCTCTTCGACGTAGAAGGGTTTCTGCATCTGCCAGTTTTGTTCTTGACGATCGAGACACTTGTTCCTCGAATCGCATAACGTAAAGTAGCTTCGATCGGTCGCGATCGGGCTCGCGCTAAGATACCGCAGATATTCCTTTCCCGATTTCCTCGGATCGTCCTGTTGCGATTCGCCATTTGTATCCAAATACCTGTATCGTAACGTTCTGTTTCTTTCCTGATCCAAATAATATCACATATATCGAAATTACCTGATCGCTGCCGAAAGAGGCGACGACTCGAACTTGTCGAACAGATGTAAAGGAAAGAAAGTTTCCTCGGGATCAGACCGAATAGCGGGCGCACTTTGCTGGCCGCCATTTTTGCGCTTTTCCCGTTTCCACCAAACTTGCTTCTCTGAAAAATCGCTGTTCCTCGTCGCTGTTTCCCGATCGCTTCTGCTGCTTGTCTAAACGTTGCACAGAAAATGCATACGCGATGATTAGAACGAGTTGCAGGGCTTGATGCAAATGGAAAGATGAAACGGGACTCTAGAGGAAAACCGTTCTCCGTTTACGCAAACATTATTTTTCTTTCTTTCTCTTTCAGTAAACGGTTAAAAGTTTAGTCAAGTCGTAACTTTGAAGGTATCCTCGTTAAGATGCAACAGGGGCAACACGATGGTTCAGAGAAAAGACGAACAGACATAAAACTTGTTGCGAACATTTTATTTTTTCTTTATATCGTTTCACCTCGCGAACGTTGAACCCGTTTTTCGTTTGAAATAAACGCTTTTAGGTATACTTTACCATTAAAGTGTCCGTGATCTTTGCCACATCGACGGCGCAGCTTGCAGTCGATAAAAGAACCGTCGCCGCGAGCAGCAGTCTCTTCATTTCTGCAAATTATAGAAAATCTACTCGCGTTTTGTCACGTTTGAATGAAAGCAAGCTTGAACGAAAGCTTGGAACTATAATGCACCGAACTCCGATTGATTTCTACCTGTTGACGCGATAGGTCTACCGGCTACCTTCTTCCAACGTTACGTCTTGGCTCGATAGCAACGAATGACTTCGGCATGCTCGTTTCTCCGCTATTTATGGCTTTTCTCCTCGAGTCCCATAGCTGACCTCGTTGCGGTCCAAAGATTTGGAGAATTGCATGGGGAATTTACCCTGCCACCAGAGTAATCCACGCGTCTGTTTACCTGTTACGCTGTTCTCTGTTTTCTTTCGCGTTCGCCCTCCTTTGTCCATTTGTTGGTCGAAAAGTTTGCCCTCGTCATCAGGGAAATGCGCACCGACCTGTCATCGACGTTTCATACGCATAGCCCACTCCTTTCTCACCCTCTCTATCGGTAACCTTGCCCAAATAGAAATCGTGCAAACGTGGAATCATCTCGCCATTTTCCATTTCTCCCTGACCACGCCTCGCTAATTAATTTCAAAGAAGAAGCGTACGTATACACTTGTCGCTTCAATGATAACAGGAGGTTGAGAGGATGTTGCGTAACTTAATCGAGGTAAAAAGCGACCATGTGTTCAAAACTGCAGAAGACTCGATTAAGTCGTTCAGATTTAGTCGCAGTTTCAAGTTCTGAATTTATAAATATTTCTCCTCTGTTTCAGATGAGAAATTTCTCTATTGTACCAATAGTTTAAAGGAAATTTAACGAAAATGGTAAGTGCACTCGTATGCCGAAACAAATTCTCGTGACGTTTATTGAAATCCAGCGTGTATCTGTTCTCTGTTCGTAGAAATTCAGATTCCTAGGTGACGGAGATTGTCCGGATTGGTTGCTAGCGGAGATCAACACGTTGTCGCGTATGGTAGGACTATGTTTTTGGATCTAATCGAGACTTAGTTCATTCATTTTTCTTATGTGGTTGTATTTCACAGACGTCTATAAAAATCAAAATACTAGGACAGGCGGTCGCGAAATATCTTACGGAAGGGGAACTCGATGTAAGTGTAAATTAACCACGCGTCTTCATTAAATTTCTTATTCATCTTCTTTTTTTATTTCGAGCATCTTCCTTGATTTGAATAGTTTTCGTGATAATTATTGAATGTCGAATTAGAAAGTCAGTTTTGTTTCTTTCTTTTTCCTTTTAGGAAGAGAAAATTAAGAAAATCACTCAAGACGCTAAACTCGGTAAGTGTCTCTGCTTCGAGTTTTTAATCGCTCGTTCGTTCACTTACGTATTTTAGTTTATTTTCTTCTCTGATATTTTATTTGCTGTTTTTTTCCAACGCGTGTCTGCGATTTATCGGGAATGGTGATGGGGTGAAAGAGGTGAACGACGCAAAAGCAATGGTAGCTGCGCTCGAGCTGATGCTAACATCCTCCGCTCGTTATGGCGTATCCGCGACGGATTTGAGCAGCGAATTGCAACAACTCGGACTTCCTCGCGAGCATAGCGCCGCGATCGCTAGATTGTACATGGATTATTCTCCCCGAATCACGGCTGCCCTTTCCTCGCAGTCTTTAAGAGGTAACTTACCCTTTGAAAAATGCGTCAAAAAATGCAATCGATTTCAAAAGAAAGGGAAAGAAAAACTTAGGTTTATAATCGGCAAAATTGTATCATTCAACTATTTGCAGTTAGTCGATTGTCGTCGATTCAAGTTGTATCTTGTGACAATTCATCACCGATTTCGACGGTGTCTTTAAAATTAAAAAAATTGGATGGATGCGATGAAAACTCTACCATTAATATTTCAAAAGACGATGTACAGGTTCTATTGGCAGGTAAGGGGTTTGTTTAGGTCTAATAAGCAACATTCTGTTAGTGAATATTCTATTTATACGTTTTTTTTTTGTTTCGTTTCAAGAATTACGCATGGCAAAACTCTATATAGAAAGTCTTTAAACGTTGTACTCGTTACTTTATACTCTTATAATTATAATATGGAACAATATAAATACGTTCGAAGATGATGCTTACTCTGGTTTCACTTTGTTGCATTCTTCTCCTTCTCCTTTTTCCTGAGTCGTACTTCAATAGGGAATAATTAAATTACAAAGTGTCGTTAAGATATAATGTATATTTATTATATTATCATTTTTGTCATATAGCATAACATTGTTATTTCTATAATAATCATAATAATAATAATAATCATCATTTTATCGTCGTTGTCGTCGTCGTCATTGTCATTGTCATAATAATAATAATAATGGTAAGAATAATATAATTATAATAATAATCATCATCATCATAATATTAGTAATAATAATAACCGTCATCATCGTAATAATAATCATAATCATAATTATAATAATATTAATAATAATAATTAATAATCATAGCACCATGAACACTCCATAGTAAGTTTTTAATTTGTTACTCGATTAATGCGACGTCCCGTTACGCTTGAAGGGGTGAGAACCGCGATTCGTACAATAAATATAGTCGTGAAAAAATTTGAATCGCCGCGAAGTGTGCGATATAATGCCGCAGTGGCAAAAGATCGACTGTGATAATGACTAGATGATCGCAGCATTAGGAAACGAGACTGTCTGACTAGAACGTTGAGCGTATCCAAAATTGCACTCGGGGTAAATAAACTTTCATCTATCCTGTCTTTTTCGACACCGATTGCCTTTCTTTCGAAGCTTTCCACTTCGAAAATTTTCAACATTTTTTTTATAATCGATCGATTTAACCGTTCGAGCACGCAAAATCGGTCGACAGACTTCCGGTGAGTCTTATCAAAAACGATCATTTAACGAGCCTCTCACCCCGGTACATATTTCGCTGTTGGATGGATACGCGATCGTCAATCGATATCTCTCTTTTACTCCACCCTTTTAAGCCTATTATATTCTATATTCAAATGAAATCGTATCACCGTTCCCACCACCCGTTAAGCACCACGATTGATTTAGGAGTTCGTACACAGGTGTTGAGATTTGTAATTCGTAAATTTTTCTCTCATCTTCTGTTTCTTCTCTTTATTCGCATAATTAAGTTTCTTCCTATTTTTTTTTTCTTTTGCCCTTGTATTTATCTTTTATATATTCGTGTGTTTGTCTTGCTGTCTGTCTGTATATGCGTGTACGTGTTGAGCGTATAATATGTACGTGTATAAGTGTGAACGTGTTTTATATTATATATATATATATACTTTTTATTCTTTTCATCTTCATATTTATTCTAAACTGTTTTAATGAAAGCTCGTTCTTAACTTTTATATTCCTCTCCTTCTTAACTTAAATTTGTTCTTTTCGCCATACAGAATTGCCGACGAGTATATTGAACCATTCGCTTTGGTTTACCGATCGGCAATGCCTTCGTTTGCTTCTCTCTCTCTCTCTCTCCTTTCTATTAAATTCAATTTCATAATTTTAATATCCTACCTAAACAGCTGGTCATTTATATTTGTCAATAAATAATACATAAACACATAGGTGCATGCTTCGTCATTGCCCTTTTACGTTCTCGATTCTTCGATCGGGAACAAAGAAATTGTTCTGAATCGTGATCAGCGATCGATGATGACAGTGACGGTATAACGATCGCATCGGTGTTGGTGTGAAACGTAACAATAGCAGCAGCAGGCGCAGCAGCAACAACAGTAACAATAATAATGATTAACGCGATGATAGTGATAATAAGAAAAAAAGAAAGAATCGCAACAATTACCACTAGCAACATTAATGATGGTTATATGTAACAATGACAATAATTACGGTCGTAAGTATGATAATGGTGATGATGGTAATGATAATGCGAGCCCCTATGTCCTATAGTAAAAATAATAAGTATAAATCATAATAAATATTGGAAATTACAAATTCGTAGGATATTCATAATTTTTTCAGTTGTTTGACTGGAGAAAGGAAAAGAATAATGAATGATTAATTTTACTATGTACATAAATAACCTATTCTATAAAAAGTAAATAAATACATAAATAAATAAATAAATTAAACGTAACGTAGGTACACGTGAAAAAATAAACGATTGCTTTGAGACTGTCGGCAATAAATGAATGGTAAGAAACTTATACGCTAATTAGAAGATTTATTCGAACTCGAAATCACTATAAGCCGTAAGCCGTAAGAGAATCGCACGGCTTTTTCTCTTTGTTCAACTCTCGGTTGTTATTAGAACATCGTCGTCGGATAAGCAAATACGATTATTGTAAATTTCCAAAAGAAATCGGTGTACATTATTTTAGGCAATGACCCGTCGCTCGACGACAACATTTTTCATTCTTTTATTATCTTTCACTGTCCCTTTTTCTTTCGCTATAAAATAACTAAAAACATAACGTATTCAAGCATGTATTGTCACAATCTATCACGCCGCGGTTAATCTGTAAAACGATTATTTCATTCTTTGATTATTATCGAGTATTAATCATGCTTAGAATCACTCTCATTATCACCATTGTCATCATCGTCGTCGTTGTCGTCTTCGTCTTTGTCATTGTCATTATTATGACCATCACCATCATCATCATCATCATCATCATCATCATCATCGTCCTTGTCGTCGTTAGGTTGCGTTATCACCCATCGACATTATCAATATCATCATTCTCTCAACATCATCATAGTTGTCGTCCTCGTCGTCGTCATTGTCTTCGTCATTGTCGTCGTCATTGCCGTCACCAGATATAATCGTGACAATTGAAGCAATAGTTGCTCGAATGCAACGTATCGCGTTTCGGCATTGCGATGCAACAGAAAGACGAGTTGTATAAGTACGAAAAACTGAATCGTCGCGGTGTTGAACGTTGTTAGTCGAATAGTTTCTTTGACACTGCCTGTTCCGATAACAGTAACGCGTCGAAAAGAATAATTAGTCGTACGTATTTTTTTTTACTTTTTTTTTTTATCGAGGGCAAATATCAGAATCGTCAGACTCTATGAGATCCGAAGAAAGTGTAATAATATCCGTACATCGGATAAGTATATTCGGTTTGTTAAAAATTCTTATTAACCGACAAGAATCAGCAGCGCAATAATCGTTTGGTCGTGTGTCAAAATGGTGCGTGTATCATGTTCGCTTCACGCTTATCTCACTCTCATCGTCAGAATTAGTATCTCTTTCATTTGTTTCAAATGAAATATCGATTTTCTACAAAATATCTACAAAGGAATTCGTTAGGGGAGCGATCAGCTCTGTTCGCGGCGTTCCCCAAACGAAACGGAGCACCGTGAATCAGAGATTTTCGATCGGATAAAATTATCGAACGTGGACTTTGTCCGCTGGATGGATGTTGTACGAGTTTATTTATCGCCGTACCGCGACGCGACGCGGTTTTTCGCTTTTCGCTAGATATCCAAGACTTTCCTCGCTAAATTCTCGTCTAGATGGATTCGAGTGACGTATCCGAAATAGAACACGGTACATGTACCGATGACGATCATTAACGCGAGAAACATTTTTCTTTCGCTTCCGTTTAGTTCGTTCAATTGATACCCGACACGTCCTTTTTTTCCAACTCACCGCTCATCGAATCTCTATCCTCTACACTCTACGGTATAGGTGAATAGGACACAGATAATCCCTATCTATAACACATCCGGAAGTATATTAGTCGTTTACCTATACACGAATAGACACTTACAACGAGAAAGTTGATTTTTTAATTGTCATTACGGAAACTTGCCGTGGAACACGTATCAGGCTAGATAACAATAGTTCTAATTAACCTCTCGAATGACAGAAATTTCAGAAATTTACGAAGAATTCTTCTTCGCCGTCAACGTCGTTTCTTTCTTTTCATCGTGACTGCCTGATTGTTTAGTATAGTTGATGCAGCTTAGTTTTCTTTACTCGACGTATAAAAAATCAGTTGTCCAATATTCGGTATCAAGGAGAGACTTCTCAGAGTTGCATTTTGCGCGTTCTTTAGCTTCGCGAAGAAACGTTTGGAAAATTGACGACGTCTTTTATAGGACGTTAGAAATCGTCAAGAATCGAAAAGAAATGTGACTTTTGAAACCGGTACTCGACCGATAAAACGAGCCTTAACAATCCAAGCCCGTTTTACCGGTCGAAGGTGATTTTGCATTCTTTTTCTTTCCAATCGAATATGTGCGAACAAAGGAAATTGAATGAAAGTCCTAAACGGTTATCGCCTCCCCTTAAGACTTAAGAGCGAAGCTATCGCCGAGTTTCAGGAGTCGCGCACACAGTTTTAGGCACACAGAGTGTAAAGACGGGGCGCGTACTCGATCAATTCGACGGGAAACGAGTCCGTAAACGAAAAGCGACGGCGTTACACCTCGGGCTCCGCTCAGAACTCGACAATCACGGCTGAGCAGGCTGCCAATCCCTAGAATTCGAGTCTATAGGCACTGCAGCTAGTCTCGTGGTCTTGGAGATTGATGGTGCAACGGGATGCCGATGGGGAGAGGTCTATGTGATTCGCAGCTAAGGCCTCTTCGTTGTCGGCCACCCAGTATCCCAGAGTATCCGTGTCGTAAGTTGGTATCATGGTCACTTCTAAAATGATAAAAAAGAAAAATGAAACGAACGTTCAAAGTATCCATAAAAATGGTACGAAAAAGGTAACAACTTACCGAGATCTTTGTCTTCCCAAGTCCGTTTAGCTTCAAGCAATGCATCGTACACTTCTCGACTCGGTTCAGTACCGCTGAATACGTAATATCTAGCACGGACTCTTTTGAAAAACTCCAGCGAAGTGTAATAGGAATTTCCGTGATGAGGAACGTAGGTTAAATCGACGTACACCGGTTGAACCTTGTTCTTCGAATCCTTGATCTTCTTCTCATTCTTCGCAGGACTCTCCGAGCGTTTCTTGTTCTTCAAGTTCTCCGACAATACTTTCCTAGCTTGTTTCTTTTCCTTCTTTGGTGTTCCTGGCGCGGCCTTGTTCGACATTTCGTTTGTCACGGGAGCCGGAGAAGGTAATCCAAGCGGTTCGTCCCAGTCGCTAATTACATCGACGTTTAGTCGCACATCGTTTTCGATGCTGGAAGTTGTCGGAAGGTGTTGGGTCAAATTTGATGGTACCGCGAAACTTGTACTCGGTACAGTGTTCTTCAAGTTAAATTTATGGGGTGGTTTAGGGGAAGGAAGACCCAAAGGAGTGCCCCAACCCTCCAGGGGATCTTTCTTCGAATCCTTCTTCGAATCCTTCTTCGAATCTTCCTTAGCAGCGTCCTCGGGCACGGTCCTCTCGGAGGAGCCTTCTCCTCGAACGCTACCGTTCGTGTACCTCTGCGACGACTCTTTCGTTTCCTTCCTTTCCATCAGAGCTTTCTCGAAATCGAGATCAGCTTCGTCGATGTATTTCTTTGCTTCGTGTTTCTCCTCGTACGCACCGGCGTACTCTTTCTCCACTGTGAATCGTTTGAACGAGTAATCCTGGTCAGTTTTGATGGGAATGGGATCGGTGCTCTTGCGAACGGTGTCCAGCGTTTTAACGGGAGCGGATTCGGGTGGGACAACGGGTAATTGGCCGTAAATGCTGCTACTCATATCAGCCGCGGTGAATTCGATCGGTTTTCCCTCCGTTTCCTTTTCTTTCTTCGTATCCTCCAAAGCAGGTGTCTTCGATGTACCCTCAATTGCGTGTGGATGCAGTTCGATGCAATCTTTGCTGGGTATGTATTCGTCTACCTTCACGTCGACTTTCTCCGCCAAAATTATCGTTTCACCTTTCTCATTAGTCGTTTCCGTGACCTCCCTGGTGGTTGTTACGATCTCGCCATCGTCAGACACCGTTTTCGTGGTGGTGATGATGGTCCTGATTACTTCGCCTGATCGGAAGCCTTCCGGCGTGCCTGTTAACGATCTGCAATCGGGTCTCCTATCGGGAGTAGAAGTTCGTTCGGGAAGTTGAGAATGAAGGATGCTGCTGTCCGAAGCGACGGCACTTTTCTCTACTTTTTCCGGTACCTTCTTTTCCTTAACTTCAATTTCTCCTCCTTTCACTTCTTTTTCTTTTACAACTTCTTCGCCGCTCTTAATCTTCTCGACGGTAGAAGATGTATCGGCTACCGAACTTTTTCCTTCGTCTAATTTCTCAGTAACCAGAATTTTCTTTGCTTCAGTCTTGACGGTTTCGATCAGCCGGGAAACCGTTTCCCCGCTCGTCACTGTCGACTTCAACACTTCCAGATCCTCCTTCTCGAGAACTTCATCTTCGGGTACGATCACTTCGCGCTTGATAACCTTGGTAATCACCACCGGTTCCTCCTGTTCGATAATTTCCCGCCTTACGATCCTATGAATCGTCTCGGGTTCTTCCTGCTCCTCCCAATCGATTATTTTCCTGCTTTGCTTCGAGTCCTCGGAGACTCGAATAGTTTCCGGTTCACCGATCTTGCTTTCTTTCAACACGGTGACCATCTGCGTGGTACGCTTTTCCACTGGTTCCTGGATTATCGAAGTTTGCGTCGTCCGTATCGAACAGGTGGTATCTTTGTCCGGTGAAGCGGCAATATCGGATTTTCTAGCAGCACCTCCGATGGATTTATCATCGACCCTCTCGACGGTGGAAGCCGTGGGTTCAGAGGTAGAATCTGGTGTTCCGTCGCGAGTCAGGTCTGGCGTTGATTTACCTGACAGCGTGGTAATGTGAGTTGTACGTATTTCGGTCATTCCAGCCGCGAACGCTTTCTGGAATTGGCTCTCGTAACTGGCCGGATGGTCGGTTATCGAGCGTCGTTTGGCCGCCTCTTCCGAGTACTCGGTTACCTTGTAATCGCAAGTGGAAGAAGGTTTAATTCCGGCGTCGTGAAGGTGTTCGTAGCGGGATTCCGACGGCGATTTTTCGAGACGGAAGCGTTGCTCTTCGCCTCTTTCGAAAGCGGCGACGATAGCGGCGTCGGCGGCTTTCACCTCTTCGTCGTCGGCTTCCTCCTCTTGATAGATCTCGATGTCTATCACGGTGTCTCGCGAGAGTTTCCTCTTCCAAATGATCTCTTCGATTATCTCCAAAATAATGTACCGGGGCAGAGAGGATCTTATGATTATCTCTTCTAAAATCAACTCTGTGATCTTCCTCCCCTTTTTAACGTACTCCTCCTCTACAAGCTTCTCGATCTCGGTCCTCTTCTCCTCCGATATCGTAATCTCCTCGTCGATATGCGGTTCCGAACGTGCCGGACTATCCTGCGTTGATTTATCGGAGGGGATCTGGTCCGAACTTGGACTCATGCTCCTCGTACTCGCTTTATCCTCCGCGAGAACTTTTCCTAGTTTACCCTCGCTGCTGATATCTAAACCCATTATGTCTTTACGCATGCATTCTTCGATGGAAACCGTGTCCACGATGATATCTATCACCAACGATTCGGACACCGAGTAAATTCTACAGATTTCTTTTATCGCAGAGGCTGTGATCTCCTTCTTCTTGGATGCATAATTGTCTAAAACATATCTTTTAATCTCGGCTTCTTTCTCGATTGACACTTTTGATGCCCGTCCTTTCATTTGCTCTGGCGAGGTAGTTTGGGCGCCCGGCTCGAAAGACATTTGCTCTTTTTTGTCTGTCATCTTTTCCTCTTTCTCTGCTGCTTTCGAAACAATTTCAACTTTCGTCTTCTCCAACGTCACTTCCGTCGATGGTTTCTTTTCCTCCAATTTTTGCGAATCTTCTTCCTTCTTGACGGTAACAACCGTTTCGATGATCGATCGTGTTATATCTTTGGTTTCGTGCAAACTTTCGGATGGAGATTTGTCATCTTTCAGCGTTTTTCCTGTCGACGAATCTTCGGGCTTTTCAGAAATTACAGGCGATTTTTCTTTCTCCTCCATGATTTCCTTCGACTTAGCGTCTTTCGGAGGAGACGGCTCCAAAGAAACGCTCGGTGCTCTCGAACGCTCCGCGGCTGAATCTTTCGGTTTCTCCGGGATACTCGCTACACTGGGTGATCTGGATTTTTCAATGGTAATCGCGTCAAGATCCTTAGAATCGATCGCCTCTCCGGCGACGCTCGGCGATGGCGATTTCGATGCAACTCCGCTGGTATCCTTCGCCTCGGAGGATACGCTGAGTTTCCTCGATTCCTCGATCGTCTTTTTAACTTCACTAGATTCTTTCGAATCGACCGTGTCTCCGGAAATGCTCGACGATTTTGAGCGATCGGCTGCTTCTTTTGATTCTCCGGGAGTACTCGTCAGGCTGGGAGATCTGGATTTTTCATCCGTCTTAACGTCCAGGCTCTTTAGATCTGCTGGTTCGCCAGCGATGCTCGGCGATTTTGATGGTTCTTTCGAATCCTTAGGCTCGATCGCAGAAGCACTTGTCACACTCGGCGATCTGGATTTATCGATCACTTTTTCGTCGACAACGTCTTCCGAAATGCTCGGCGATTTCGAATGAACCGCTGTTTCTTTCGATTCTCCAGGCACACTGGTCACGCTAGGAGACCTGGATTTGTCAATTACTTTTTCGTCAACAACGTCTCCCGAAATGCTCGGCGATTTCGAATGATCCGCTTCTTTCGATTCTCCTGTAGTACTCGTTACACTAGGAGATCTCGATTTTTCGGCTATTTTAACATCAAGAGCCAGTTCAGCTGCGATACTCGGCGATCTCGAATCTTTGTGTTCAATCGCAGGAGCGCTAGTTACGCTCGGCGATCTAGATTTATCCTCGGATTTTGCATCAACAACGTCTCCCGAAATACTCGGCGATTTCGAATGATCCACCATTTCTTTTGTCACGCTGGGAGATCTTGATTTGTCCACTACCTTCTCGTCAACCTCGTGAACGTCCCCAACGCGTTTCGATTCAACTATTTCCTCGGAAATACTCGGCGATTTCGAGTGATCCGCGATTTCCTTCGATTCCATGGAAATACTCGGTGTTCTGGATTTATCGATTACTTTAGCGTCCGTCTGTTTCGGCTCAGGCACATCGGTGGAAGTAGGCGAAGACTTGGAACCATCTACGCTCTCCTTCGATTCCGCAGGGCTAATTACGCTGGGAGATCTGGACTTTTTAATCGGTTCTTTATCGAGGTCCTTCAGATCAATCATCTCGTCAGCGATGCTCGGCGATTTCGATTGATCCTTTGCATCCTTACTAACTGAATCCTCGGTTACACCAGGGATTTTCGATTTTTCTTCTTCGGGAATGCTCGGTGATTTTTCTAAACGATTTTCCGTTTCCTTCGATTCGACGGAAACGCTGGATACGCTCGGTGATCTTGATTTATCTTTGGCATCCGCTGGAATTCCAGTGGGTGAAACATCTTTCGATTCGCCGACAATACTGGGGGATCTAGATTTTTCAGCTACCTCCGCCGCGTGAATATCCTTCGAATCGGCAATCTCAGACGCGATGCTCGGCAATTTAGAATCGTCCTTCGCATCCTTCGATTCGATTACAGGAACGCTCGTGACGCTCGATGATCTGGATTTGTCCAACGCCTCTTCGTGGATCGATTCTCCTGGAGTACTCGTCAAGCTAGGAGATCTTGATTTTTCGCCGATCTTAACGTCGAGAATTTTCATTTCGGTGGGTTCCTCGGCAATGCTCGACGATTTCGAACGGTCTTTGAGGTCTTGCGGTTCGATCACTGGAGCGCTAGATATGCTTGTTACGCTCGTTAGACTCGTCACGCTCGGAGATCTGGATTTGTCGGCTGCTTTCTCGTCGAACGCCTTCGAATCAACCATTTCCTCGGCGATGCTCGGCGATTTCGAACGGTCCTTTGAATCTTTCCGCTCGATGGTAGCGGTAACACTCGCTACGCTAGCCGATCTAGAACGATCTACAACTTTCTCGTCTATGTCCTTCGAGTCGATCGGCTCTCCCGAGACACTTGGCGATTTCGAACCGTCGATCGTTTCCTTCGACTCTCCGGGAACGCTGCTTACACTGGGAGATCTGGATTTTTCGTCGACTTTGATGTCGAGCTCCTTCGATTCGGAAGGCTCACTCGGCGATTTCGAAGGTTCCTTTGAATCTTTCTGTGCAGGAGCAGAGACAGGAACGCCAGTTACGCTAGGCGACCTGGATTTGTCGCTTGCTTTTTCCTCTACGTCTTTCGAATCGATCACCTCGCCAGAAATACTGGGCGATTTTGATCGATCGATCGCTTCACTTGGAGACCTGGATTTTTCTTCGGATTTAACGTCGACATCTTTGATGTCTGCTGGTTCACTCGCGATGCTCGGTGATTTCGAATGGTCCTTTGAATCCTTAACATCAGCGCTGACAGCAGCGGTATCTGTTACACTAGGCGATCTAGATTTCTCGATCGCTTTCGCGTCAACTTCCTTCGACTCGATCGCTTCTCCAGAAATACTAGGCGATTTCGAGCGATCGCTTGCTTCCTTCTGTTCAGGAACACTCGTCACACTGGGAGATCTTGACTTTTCTTCTATTTTAACGTCCAACACTTTGGAATCGATCGACTCACCGACGATACTCGGTGATTTCGAAGGCTCTTTGGTATCTTCTTTAGTTTCTGCTGGAGCGGTTGTTACGGTAGGAGATGTAGCTTTTTCAACTGCTTTCTCGTCGACTGACTCTCCTGAAATACTCGGAGATTTGGAACGATCTGTGGGTTCTTTCGATTCTCCGGGCACACTCGTCACACTGGGAGATCTAGATTTTTCAAGAGCTTTTAAATCGACCGGTTCACCAGCGATGCTCGGCGACTTTGATGGTTCTTTCGAATCCTTAGGCTCAGTCGCGGGAGCACTCGCTATGCTTGGCGATCTCGATTTGTCGATTACTTTTTCGTCAACGTCTTTCAAGTCTACAGCTTCTCCGGAAATGCTCGGTGATTTCGAAGCGGTTGTACTTTCCTTCGGTTCTACGGTAATGCTCGATATACTCGGTGTTCTTGATTTCTCGGGTGCTTTGGTGTCTGGCTCTTTCGATTCTGCAGGGATGCTGGCCACGCTGGGGGATCTCGATTTTTCGATCGATTCTGCGTCGAGGTCTTTCAGATCGGTCGGTTCACCTGCGATGCTGGGAGATTTTGAACCTTCCTTCGCGTCTACGACTGGAGCAGCAGCTGTCATAACGGAAGATACGATTTTGTCTATTGGCTCTTCTGAGATACTTGGGGATTTAGACTTGTCAGAGGTTTCTTTCGGTTCCACGGTGGGAATGCTGGTTACACTAGGCGTTCTGGATCGATCTGCTTCTTTAGCAGACACGTCTTTCTGATCGGCGACTTCCGTAGAAATGCTGGGTGATTTTGAACGATCGGTAGGTTCTTCGACCGATTTTGCTTCGGTATGTTTTACATCGATCATCTCGTCGGCGATACTCGGTGATTTTGATTTCGCGTCTTTTGGCTCTTCCGAGGGCGATCTAGATTTTTCAGCCTCTTTTGTGAGCTTTGGCTCTTCTGAAGGTGATTTAGGTTTCTCATCCACCTTTACGTCTTTTGGTTCCTCCGAAGGCGATCTAGATTTTTCTTCGACCTTCACGTCCTTCAGTTCCTCCGAGGGCGATCTAGATTTCTCTATTGATTTTACGTCCTTTGGTTCCTCTGAGGGCGATCTAGATTTCTCCACTGCTTTCACATCCTTTGGCTCTTCTGAGGGCGACCTTGATTTTTCATCTACCTTCACATCTTTTGGTTCCTCCGAAGGGGATCTAGATTTTTCAACCTCTTTTATGTCTTTTGGTTCCTCCGAAGGGGATCTAGATTTTTCAACTTCTTTTATATCTTTTGGTTCTTCCGAGGGCGACCTAGACTTTTCATCCACCTTCACGTCCTTTGGCTCCTCCGAAGGCGATCTAGATTTTTCATCCACCTTCACGTCCTTTGGTTCCTCTGAGGGCGACCTAGATTTTTCAACCGCTTTCACGTCCACAGTATCCTTTAAATCGACTGCTTCTCCCGAAATGCTCGGCGATTTCGAACGCTCCTTCGCTTCTTTGCTCTCTTCTACAGCAGCAGAAACAGTTTCTACATCTTTCTTCTCCATAACTTCATCCACTGTGGTTGGCAATTTCGAACGATCTACGATATCTGCCGATTCCGCTGGAAGACTCGTTACACTGGGTGACCTAGATTTCTCCACCGTCGTCGCCACGGTGTCTTCTTTCAAATCTGTTGGTTTTTCAGTAATAGTCGGCGATACTGATTCTTTCAGATCGGTGGGAGCAGGCGTTGCATCAGGAGACTTGGATTTCTCCTTTACCTCGACATCTTTGAAATCTACAACTTCGCCAACAATGCTTGGGGACTTCGAACGATCCATCGATGGTTTTGAGTCCTCGTCACGGACACTCGCGACGCTAGCTGGGCTTGATTTTCCACTAGCTTCCTCAACGGAGTCTTTGCTCGGTTCGACTGTATCGATCGGTAGTTCAGAAACTTTCTTCGCTTCCTCGGGTTTCTTCAAATCATCTTTCAACAACGTTTCAACTGATTCCTTCCGTTCCACTTCCGGCTGCATTTTCGCGCTTACGATATCTTCTACAGGTGATTTGTCTGCTTTGGTTACTTTGTCCGCGGTAGGCGGAGATGTTTTCTCTTCCGTCGTCTTTTCGACTTTCACAGGCTCTTCGATCGCTTTCTTCTCCTTCTCCTTATCGATATCTTTATCGAGCACTTTCGGTTCTGGTTTTTCCGGGGAAATACTGGGAGACTTTGATTCTTCCGTGACGGATTTCCTTGGTTCCGTGGCGATCGACTCCGCCGGACTCGGCGACTTCGAATCGCGTCTCGGTGCTTTCAGGTCTGTTATCGTTTCTACTTTTTCCTCCTCTTTCTCCACTTTCTCTTCAATTTTGCTCGGAGATTTGTCTTTATCGACTTCGGGTATCTTCGCCTCAACAGCAGACTTCGGTGGGCTTTCCAGCTGTTTTTCAACTGTTTCCTTCAAATCTAATTCGGTTGGTGCAGTTATGCTCGGAGTACGAGACTTTTCCTCCACCTTCGCATCCTTCTCCTCGGGTTTCTCTTTGTCGATGACAATCGTTTCCTTTTCTCCTTCCTCCACCTTCTCATCTTTAGCCAGCGGTTTATCTTTAGCTGCTTCGGGACTTTTCTCGTGCGGTGTCTCAACAATTGCCTTCTCCTCTTTTTTCTCAACAGGAGATTTTACTTTTTCTTCTTCGACTCGTTCAGGCGACGCTTCTTTCGATGCAGGCTTCGCTGCTTCGATCGGCGACTTTTCAGTCGTGGAAACAACTACTTCGGATGGTTCTAAGTCTTGGATCGCGTCTAGAATTTGTGTCGTTTCTTTTTTGTCCGTTGGCGATTTCTCGAAGATCGTCTCTGCCGGTGATACATCTTCCGAACGTAACGATTCTGGTGACTTTACTACACCTATGTCCAAAGATTTCCTTTTCTCCGCGGGAATTTCGGCATCAAGCGTTTCGGCGAGGCTCGGTCGTTTCTCAACCGAGACTGGCGCCTTCTCCGCGATCGGTGATTCGATCGCTTTTTCAGTCTTCGGGGTCACTTCGGGGATCTTCTTCGCCTCTTCCAATGGCGATTCCTCTTTTGGAGATTTAGGTAATTCCTCCTTTGGAGATTTAGGCAGCTCTTCCTTGGCGGAAACGGAAACGGGAATGCTCTCCGGTTCCTTCGGTTTTTCAACAACTGCGGCCTTCTCCAAACTGTCTTCAAGTTCATGGGAACTGGAATCGAACCGGTCGACTGGTGATTTTTCCAAACTGTCCTCGGGCGTTACTTTTCCAACATCTTTAAGTTCTGCTGCCGATTTCTCGGAGATGCTATCCTTCTCCGGACTGCTCGTTTCAGAACGCAGCGAATCTTTATCAGTAATCAAAGAATCCTTGTCGGGCGTTGACTTAATCGAAGTGTCTTTCAAGGAATCGTCGGGGGTGATCGGTTTGCTGATCGCGGCGCTGTCGGTCGCACAGATTTCCGTCTCTTGTCCGCCGTCCTCGCTGCTCGCTGTCACCAACATCCGTCGAACGAATCCCGCGTCTTCCTCGGGCTTCGGCTTGACGTCGTGAGTTTCTTTGGCAGTGATGGTGGCGGGGGTGGTGGCTGGCGAGGGTAATTCCTTCGAAGGCTCGGTTACTTCTTCCCGAACCGGCGACGGAGTTTTCGATTTCTCTTTTTCGACTTTTGTTTCAGGACTTTCAACTTCCTTTTTCTCCTTTTCCTCCTCTTTCTCTTTTACAGTTTCTTTTGGTTTAAGATCAATGTCAACGATCGGTTCGGCAGCTTTAATCAGTGGAATATCCTTTGGTACCTCCACTTCTGCTTCCTTCTCGAGCGGTGCTGCTTTTTCTTCTTTTGGTTTATCTTTTTCTTTGTCCTTTTCAGCGACGAGAGGTGCTTCCGGTTTCGCTGCTTCCTTTACTGCGGCTTGGTCAGAAGGTTTCCCAACGGATATATCCTCTTTTTTCACTTCTGGTTCAACTTTAACTTCCTCTGGTTTTTCCTTATCAACCACTTTACCAACAACTCGCTCCTCTTCCTTTTCTTTTGCTTCATCCAAGTACTTCTCCACGGTATCGAGAGACTCCGCTATTTCCGCTGGTGTTTCCGCTTTCGCGACAACATCCTTCAACTTCTTATCTTCACTAATGATTTCCTCTTTGCGCGTTTCAATGATCCCTGTGTCCTTCTTCTCCGCTTTCTCCTTTGTCTCGTGCACGAACTTTTCATCAGCTTCGATAACGTCGGCGCCAACCTCTTCCACGGCTTCCTCCGCTTCCTCTCGTTCCCTGGGTTCGTCTGGTTTAGCTGACAACGAATCGATTACACGCTTCTCGTCGGAAACGATCGATGGTACATCGTGTACTTTTAACTCTTGCTCAACCGCTTCGAAGTCGTCTTCTTTCTCAGTCTCTCGATCGTGTTTCTCCTCGGCTTCTTTAGTCGGCTCCGGACGATCCGCAGGAGCCTTTGTCGGTTTCTGGTCCAACTGGGAAATCGTGTCTCTTGAAACTCTTCTACTTTCGATGCGAACGAAACCGTCTTCTTCTACGTCTTCCTCCTCAACCTCCTCCTTTTCCTTTTCCTCCAATTTTGGTGAAGGTGCCTTTTCTTTTTCTTCTAATTTTGGTGAAGGTTCCTTTTCCTTTACCTCTAATTTTGGTGAAGGTTCCTTTTCTTTATCCTCTAATTTTGGAGAAGAATCCTTTTCTTTTTCTTCCAATTTTGGTGAAGGTTCCTTTTCTTTATCCTCTAATTTTGGAGAAGGTTCCTTTTCTTTTTCTTCCAATTTTGGTGAAGGTTCCTTTTCTTTTTCCTCCAGTTTTGGAGACGGTTCCTTTTCTTTTTCCTCCAATTTGGGAGAAGGTTCCTTTTCTTTTTCCTCCAATTTGGGAGAAGGTTCCTTTTCCTTTTCTTCCAATTTTGGTGAAGGTTCCTTTTCTTTATCCTCCAGTTTTGGAGACGGTTCCTTTTCTTTTTCCTCTAGTTTTGGTGAAGGTTCCTTTTCTTTTTCCTCCAGTTTTGGAGACGGTTCCTTTTCTTTTTCCTCCAATTTGGGAGAAGGTTCCTTTTCTTTTTCCTCCAATTTGGGAGAAGGTTCCTTTTCCTTTTCTTCCAATTTTGGTGAAGGTTCCTTTTCTTTATCCTCCAGTTTTGGAGACGGTTCCTTTTCTTTTTCCTCTAGTTTTGGTGAAGGTTCCTTTTCTTTTTCCTCCAATTTGGGAGAAGGTTCCTTTTCTTTTGCTTCTAATTTTGGAGAAGGTTCCTTTTCTTTTTCTTCCAATTTCGGAGAGGGTTCCTTTTCTTTTTCTTCCAATTTGGGAGATGGTTCCTTTTCTTTTTCTTCCAATTTTGGTGAAGGTTCCTTTTCTTTTTCTTCCAATTTTGGAGAAGATTCCTTTTCTTTTTCCTCTAATTTTGGTGAAGGTTCCTTTTCTTTATCCTCTAGTTTTGGAGAGGGTTCCTTTTCTTTTTCTTCCAATTTTGGTGAAGGTTCCTTTTCTTTTTCCTCTAATTTTGGTGAAGGTTCCTTTTCTTTTTCTTCCAATTTTGGTGAAGGTTCCTTTTCTTTTTCCCCCAGTTTTGGAGACGGTTCCTTTTCTTTTTCCTGTAATTTTGGTGAAGGTTCCTTTTCTATTTTCTCCAATTTGGAAGATGGTTCCTCTTCTTTTTCCTCCAATTTGGGAGAAGGTTCCTTTTCTTCTAATTTTGGAGAAGGTTCCTTTTCTTTTTCTTCCAATTTCGGGGAGGGTTCCTTTTCTTTTTCCTCCAATTTGGGAGAAGGTTCCTTTTCTTTTTCTTCTAATTTTGGAGATGGTTCCTTTTCTTTTTCTTCCAATTTCGGGGAGGGTTCCTTTTCTTTTTCCTCCAATTTCGGGGAGGGTTCCTTTTCTTTTTCCTCCAATTTGGGAGAAGGTTCCTTTTCCTTTTCTTCTAATTTACGAGAAGCTTCCTTTTCTTTTTCTTCCAATTTCGGGGAGGGTTCCTTTTCTTTTTCCTCCAATTTCGGGGAGGGTTCCTTTTCTTTTTCCTCCAATTTGGGAGAAGGTTCCTTTTCTTTTTCTTCCAATTTTGGTGAAGGTTCCTTTTCTTTTTCCTCCAGTTTTGGAGACGGTTCCTTTTCTTTTTCCTCCAATTTGGGAGAAGGTTCCTTTTCTTTTTCTTCCAATTTTGGTGAAGGTTCCTTTTCTTTTTCCTCCAGTTTTGGAGACGGTTCCTTTTCTTTTTCCTCTAGTTTTGGTGAAGGTTCCTTTTCTTTTTCCTCCAGTTTTAGAGACGGTTCCTTTTCTTTTTCCTCTAGTTTTGGTGAAGGTTCCTTTTCTTTTTCCTCCAGTTTTGGAGACGGTTCCTTTTCTTTTTCCTCTAGTTTTGGTGAAGGTTCCTTTTCTTTTTCCTCTAGTTTTGGTGAAGGTTCCTTTTCTTTTTCCTCCAATTTGGGAGAAGGTTCCTTTTCTTTTTCTTCCAATTTTGGTGAAGGTTCCTTTTCTTTTTCTTCCAATTTCGGGGAGGGTTCCTTTTCTTTTTCCTCTAATTTTGGTGAAGGTTCCTTTTCTTTATCCTCTAGTTTTGGAGAAGGTTCCTTTTCTTTTTCCTCCAATTTCGGGGAAGGTTCCTTTTCCAGTTTCTCATCAGCAGGCAATGGCGGGCTCGCCTCCTTCTCTGGTTTCGTTTCTGTTTCCGGTTCCAACGATACGTCCGGGGCAACAGAAATGTCGATCGTCCTTCGCGAGATGATCTCCCGAATGATTCGAATCACGATCGTTCTCGAGAGGATCATTCTCACGCAGATTTCTTCGATTATTTGAATGGTGATTACACGAATTCCTTTTGTAATGTATTCGTTGAAAATATGCTCCTCCACGTCCATCCTCAATTCCGTCGAAATTAATTTTTCGTCGATCTTTAACATTTCAACATCCTCGACAACGTCCTTCGCGGAAAGTCCTTTTCTTATGATAATCTCGTGGATCATGTAAATTATACGTTCCCGGGATACTCGTTTGATCGTGATAATGTATTCGATGATCTCGATCGTGATTCGCTTCTTTTTCACGACGAGTTCCTCGATGATCTCTGTCACAGTGCGATCTGCTTTGTCGACGATCGCTTTTATTTCTGTCGCTAGTTGAACAGACATTCGACGGCCTTCTAATTGTTTCTCTCTATCGGTGATAAATTTAGGGGAAGCTGGTGTAGAACCGGCGGAAACGGTTACGATTTCCGCTTTCGCAGGGGAAAGCTTCTGATCGAAACCGATCACAGTTTCCTCTTCGTCCGTACCCACTTCAGTGTGCTTCTTTACGCAGATATCCTCTATTCCAGCTTCCATTACATCCATTTTTAAAGGCTCAACTTTCTCGCTCGGCGCTGCAGCTTCTTTTCCTACAGGAATCTTCAAATCTCCCTTCAGGATCTCCTCGCAGATCTGCTTCGCGTCGCGCTCGTCCTTCTTCTCCTTCTCGTCCGGCGGAGGGCGGATCTCCTCCGTGGTTTTTCTTAATTTTAAACAAGGTTCTTCGAGCGGTTCGATCGAAACCGGCGACGGCGCGACTTCAACCTTGCCTTCGACCAGCTCCTCGATCTCTTCTTGTGGATGGGGAAATACTTCGGTAACGCCGACTTTGGTTGGCATCGCGATCGCCGCGAGTTTCTTATCCTCGCTCTCGATCTCCTTTTCTTTTTCTTTTGCTGCCGGTTTTTCTAGCAACACCTCCAGCGGAAAATCGTCTTCTTTCAACACTTGGGCGACTTTCTTCACGATTTCTATGACATCTTTCGGTTTCTCCTCGATGTCGATACCGGCGGTTCCCGCGAGGACCTCTCCGACATCGCGCACCGCCTCCTTCACGTCCTTTACCGGGATACCAGGAGCTGGGACATCGGCAGTGACTGTCATCGCACTTATTTCTTCGTGTTCCGCTTCGAAAGTTTCGTCCTTTGCTATGTCGAATTTTACTTTCTCAGGTTCTTTACTTTCGGTCGATACGGTTTCGATATGCGGCTTAATCGCTTCCAGTTTCTCCACGACGCCTTCCAAAGTGTCCTTAACGACGTCCTTCACTGGAGGAGCTGAAACTGCGTCCTCCTCAGGCTCCTCGTCAACGATCTTCCCTTCCAAGGACTCCAAAGAATCTCTTAAGCTATCCTTCACTGTCTTAAATTTCTTTGATGCTTCCTCTAGTAATGCTTTTATTTCCTCTGTGTCTTCTTCTACTCCTTCGACCACCTCTTCTTCCTTTCCAATTTGAGCGTCGACTTTTACTATCTCTTCCTTTTCTTCTTTCTTCTTTTCTTCCTCCTCCTTCTCTTTTTCTTTTTCTATTTCTGTTTCCTTTTCTTTTACAGTTTCTATTTCCTTCTCTTTTTCTATTTCCTTTTCTTTTACAGCTTCTATTTCCTTCTCTTTTTCTATTTCTATTTCCTTTTCTTTTACAGCTTCTATTTCCTTCTCTTTTTCTATTTCTATTTCCTTTTCTTTTACAATTTCTATTTCCTTCTCTTTTTCTATTTCTATTTCCTTTTCTATTTCTTTTTCTTTTTCCTTCTCTTTCTCCTTCTTTTCTGGGACAACAGCAACATCCTTTGTTTCGGCTGTTACAAGTTCCTCGGTGGCGGGTGCAGGTTTGCGATCCAACTCGGGTACGGTTTTCGATACAATTTCGGGTTCGATTTCGGGTTTAGGTTCAGGCACGGGTTTAATTTCCTTCTCCTCCTTAACTGGTTCTTCGACAGGTTTTTCTTTAACCTCGGGAACTGCAACGACAGGTTTTTCTTTAACCTCGGGAACTGCAACGGCAGGTTTTTCTTTAACCTCGGGAATTGCAACGGCAGGTTTTTCCTCGAGTTTCACCTCCTCCTTTTTCAAGACAGTTTCTTCGACGATCGAAGGTTTTCTATGATCGACCTTCGCTTCCTTTTCAACAGGTGGAGCTTCTACCTTTTCGGTAGGCTTGGTCACTTTCGGGAACATTTTGTCCATGTCGACCTCTTCGAGAAGGGTCTTCTCCTGCACCTTCACCTCCTTCGGCGAGCTGGACTTGGAGGAGGATTTATCGTCAGTGTCCTTGTCCTGCTCCTTCTTCGATTTCTTCGTCAACTTGTCGATACCCTTTTCAAATTTATCGGCAACTTTTCCGAAGAAGCTGAACACTCCCTTCTGCTCTTTGATCGGTGGCGTGGGAGGCTCTTTGACTTCCTGTATCGGTGGGGATACTTTCTCCTCTTTCTCTTTCTCGAAGTCTTCCATTCGGTACAATTTCGGATCGACCTCTTCGTGAACGGGTAAGTCGGCTACTTCGTCGGGTGTCTTGACGATGTCACGTTGCATCATTTGCGTGGCTTGTCTGACGTCGAACTGTTGGACATCCGGTTTAACCGGAACCGAAGGGACGGTGCGGGAAACGGCGACTCCGGTAGGGAGGCCGACGGAAGTTGGGGTTGGAGTGACCACGGCACCGGTACTCGTCGTCACGGCCGCCACGGCGATCTCTTCTTCTTTAGCTTTTATTGGCGCCTCCTTCTCCTTCACGTCCTCGATTACGTGTTTCTCGTCGATGTCCTCCTTTATTTCGTCCATCGGTATACGCTCGTCTTCGGGGAGCGTCGGCGCCGTGGTCGTGGCACCGGATTCCACGGTCGAGATGCGTTCTTGCGATTCCTCCAGCTTCTCCGGCATTTGCTCCTTTTGATCGGCTTCCGGTTTCAAATCGGTATCGCTGGTCTTCTTCTCGGATAAATCGAACTTGTCCGGGCTCAAACTGGACGGTTCCTTCGTGATATCTTCGCTGTCTCTCTTAACAGAATCTTCCCTTTCTTCGTGTCTCGGTTGTACGGCGTCTGTCGGCGACGCGACGACAGCGTCCTTCTTCATCTCTTCTTCCAATCGTTCGCGACGATCGGGCGACAGATCGATAGGTTCAGCAGTTTCTTCTTCTTCCCTTTCTTCTTCGTGACCCTCCTCCTCTTCTTCCTCCTCTTCCTCCTCTTCTTCCTCCTCCTCCTCTTCCTCTTCTTCTTCCTCCTCCTCTTCACCCTCCTCAGCTTCCTCTTCCTCCTCCTCCTCTTCTTCCGCACCTTTTCTGGACCTCACTTTCAGTTTCTTCTCCACGCTTTCGTCCTTTTCTTTCTCTTCGACTTCTTCTTCCGTACCTTTCTCCTTCACCGTTTCCATGTCCTTTAACATCTTCACCTTCTCCGACTCGGCCTCGTCCAACACGTGCTTCTGTTCACCGTCCCCGCTCTGCGCGGAATCTTCCGTGTACACCTCCTCCTTTTCCACAATCAGGTATTCGTCCTCTTCGGTCAATTCTTGACTGCCTTTTCGGAGGCTGTCCTTCTTCGGCGCGTCCTCGATCTCGGCGGTTACATCCTCCTCGGTGATGTCTTCCTCTTTTTTATCAGTTACCTCCGCGGTAATTTCGTCGTCACCCTCGAAACGATCCTCCTTCCTCGCGCCCTCTTCGATGCGTTCCGCCTTCTGGAGAACCGCCTCGATCTCCTCCACCACTTCGCGTTCCTCTTTCAGGTCCGCCAGTACCTTGCTCTCGATCGAATCCAACGAAATGTCCTCCGACTTTTCCATCAGACCCTTGTCTACGAGCCGCGTTCCCGCTTCCGCTTCGATTCCTGAGGGAGTCGACACTGTGGACGAATCGGTCGTGCCCCTGTCGCCCTTCGTTTTACGAACGACGCCGTCTTTGTCGGACTTGACGGAAGCCGTGGGCGTGCTACGAGTCGATTTCGCCGGGCTGCCGGGCATGCGAGCTTTGCTCGGGCTGACCGGCTTGCCCCGACGACTGATACCTCCTTTTCTATCCATCGGTTTCGGTTTTGCCGTCGCTTTCAACGTACTCACAGCCGTCCCCGGTGCGGCTTCTTTTATCGCCGATTTTTCTATGTTCTTCTGCTCCACCACTTTTCTGTTATTCGCGTCCTTGGTGCTCTTCGCCGGGGCCGCAGTCACGGGTCTATGACCTACCGTTGGCTTCCCTTTCGCGACGCCTCCTCTGGTTATCTCCGTCTTCGTTGCCGCGCCGTTCACCACCTTCTTCGGGGTGGTCGGCGAGGATTTCACGGCCGGACCGGTATCCTTCTTGTCCGCGCTGGTCGGTTGCTTTGCCCTCCTCTCGATAGGCTTAGGCTTCGGCGCGGTATCGATCTTTCCAGCTTTCGGTGCGGCAACTCCCTTTGTATCCTTTGTTTCTCTCCTTCTCGAGTCCACCCTCGATGTCTTGGGCGGTTTCGGCTCCTTCGGAGCAACCGTCGTCTTCTCCGTTTCCGGTTTACCGGTCTCGTCACGTTTCTCAGGCTTTTCTACCTCTGACTTTTCTTTCTTCGCTTCCTTTAATTCTTTCTCCATCTTTTTGCTCTCTTTAGTTTCTTTTCCTTCAACCTCTAATTTCTTGCTCTCCGCTGCGGCTTTTCTCATCTTCGCCTCGGCCGCAGCCGTCACCGCAGCTATCGCTTGAGGCTTCGTCGGGATGATCGGTGTACCGCCCTTCCCTATTTCTTCACCCTTCACTCCTTTCCCGTCGGACGGTTCCTTCTTTTCTTTCTTCGCCTCGGTGCTCACCTTCTTCGCGTCTTTCTCTATCAGGCTGAACTTTTGTCTGGCCGGTTTGTCGCGCAGCGTCGCCAATGACGCGGACGGCGAGAGACTCTTCGCCGAGCAGACCGGATGTTTGAGGAATTCCAAGTGTTTCAGACGTTCGAAACCTTCGAAGATCTTTTGCTGCGGCGTGCTGCCGGGAAACAGAATTCTCGTGATCGTGTCCTCCGGATTGGCCGGTTGCCAGACCAGAAGCGCGCATATCGAGACGAGATTTTGAATGGGAAAAGTTACGTTGTTCGAGTCTTTTCTGTGCGATCCCGCGAACAGTTTCGAATCGGACGAGTGCCATTTCGCCAGGAATTCCCTCACTTCGCGGCTGTCCTTGTTCGGGCTCAGAACGTACATGTCCAGGGTGCCGTGGCCCACTTTGTGGTAGAGATTGATAGGGTCCGGATCCCTGTAGCAGGGGTGGGCCTTCAAATTGATGCGGCGAAGATCGACCACCATCTCTTGGCCGATGTCGGTAAGATTCAAGATCAACGGATCGATGTCTTTGTCCCCGTCCGGTGAATTGGATTGTCTTCTCTCCTGTTACGTGAATCAAAGCAATATCGATGTATAACCGTGCTAAATTCGCCAGACTTTATTACGTAAAAGCGAATTACTAAAGAAAAACTGGTTTAATCTTTTCCGTGTAAGTGTACGATGGATCAACGAATAAATTTTCAACACTTTAGAGAGCAAGACTCAAAGTCGGAACACCGTTGCAAGCATGCATCTATCTGGGTCATCGACAAACATACTCTCTCTAAACTCATTATCAGGTTAACTCGATTAAGAGATTAGTATCGCAAATACGGTAAATGAGCATATTAGCAAATTAGCAGATTTCCATATGAAAGGAGAAATAATTATGTTGCTCGATGGACGAGGAGATACTCACGACTAGGTTGCAGAAAAAGTGTCCAATTTGAGGATAAACGTGCATCTCCCTCTTCTTTCGGAGAACGCTAGACATGCCTCCCACGTTACTGTTGTTTATTCTGGTAACCAGAACCGCGTCGAGACGGTCCAAGTGTCTGGTGAAGTCCCAGAAGCATGCCTTTCTGGCGAAACCACCGTCCACCAGCATGTTGAAACCGTTGATGCCGAAAAGTGCGGCATCGCCTTGACCGCCAGGGAAGACGTACAAAGTTGGATGACTAAATCTAATGTTGCCCACCACATCGGACGGCTCCATAAGCTGGTCCAATGTCTGGGCAACGAGATACTGTCCGACATAATTCGTGAAACTGGTGATGGCTGGCACACCCGCCGTAAGGACGTCATCGGGATTTACTCGAACTCGACAGGATCTGAAGGAAAATGAAGATGAATCCGTTTGCTATTTCCTTAATTATTCCATAATTATCAATTATTCGAAATTCACACCTGGTACAGGCTTCTTTCGACAGTCGACTCGTAGTCCACTCGCCGACTCCGGCGCAATGGATATCTACTGTGACACTGTTCTCATAGGCGCGAAGAACTCTTTGCACTTCGTGTTCACTGAACGCGTCTAGAAAATCTGCGAGACTAAAGGTTCCATCCTGAAACGAGATCGCAAGGTTGTCGGTGAAGTGTGTGGAATAACGATGAAAGATAAAACTGGGAAAGATAGAATTGAAAAGAAAGCATCTGCGCAGTTGATAATACTAATGTGCTATAATATATTGTAGCAGAATATCCTTGGTTCGAGTCGCGAAAAGGATTACGCTACTAATAGGTAACAGCAACTGCACGTACTTGCAATATCCAGGAACCATTTCCACCAAAGGTATAGCCGGCGTGTATAATGTGTCGGTGTTTCGTGAAACTTGCAAGAAGATTACGAATACACTGTAATAAAGTGTTCGTTTGCGGATGAATGAGAACCTCCGTGACAAGGTTCTCGGTGGCGTATTGGATCAGTCGTTCGCCTAAAATTTCGTTTGGTCTCGTTAAGGGAAACAAGTCACGGCTACGCATCCCGCGTTCGACCATTGAACAAATTTTAATAGCGGATCATATTATCGGCGATTAGCGAAATAATTAATTAGACGGTTATACAAATACCATTTCTAGCTTCTTCTCCTTCGGGAGCTTGCGCCACCAACGCCAATAATTCTTTTTCTAAATCTACGTGACAACTATCCTTATCCCACGACAGGAAACCTGAAACGTAAGAAACATTTTAGAAAAAAAAATATCCCATGAATCGAAAACGGAGCTCGAAGGGTGCTCCGTCAGGGTGCTTCGATTCGATAGATCAACGATATTACAGCCGGGGATGAGGAGACGCACGATACTTGCTTTCGATCTTCGATCGATCGGTATCGCGACCTAGCACGTATTAAGCCGACGGATCGTAATAGTGGGTCATAACGACGCATAACGATCCCAAGAGTACGCACTAGTTTGGCTTCGTACAGCGAGGCTTGTTCAGGGCTGAAGAACGTAAGGTGAAGGTTAAGAAAGCGAGCAATCTCTTTCTCTCGGCCGTCAATTTGTTTAAATTCCATAAAAAAAAGAGATGACCCTTTAGATCCAATAATTTCCCATTTAACTATCTTCATTTTAATTCGTCCTTGTATCAGAGAATTTCATTCAAATTCTATCTTCTTTCGTTTCAATCGTAGCGAAACGAAATCTCGGAAGGTACAAATGAGAAAAAATTGAATTTCTCGCTAGCCCGATGAGACAGAGGGGTAGTGTGACGTCACGAATACCGCACCCCGTCACGTGGTTCCGTGCTAGTCAGCCAGCCAGCCAGCCGGCAATCGATCGACGCACATAGTAGTACTTATATACGTACATATATATCCTACACCCACTCTCCTCACTGCCTACCACCTCTTTTACCTCCTATCAAAAGAACAAAAATTCATCCCCTTCCTTTCATTGTGTTTAATAACATTTCTATTCAGCCGATAAAACAAAAGCAAGATATGTAAATGGATGGTATAATAGGAATTTATATTAGGAATTAAAATCATCTTTCTCATCCCTTGTATTCAAAATGAATTTAAGGGAAAGATTTTTATAACGTGACGTTGAAAGAATTTTTTTCTTATAATAACTACGTTACTGGTTATAATCTCAAACTCTGGGTGGCTCTCAAACCATTGAAATTGTCGCATTGAGCCACACCAGCAAATTCTCTATGTCAAATTGATCGGAAGCCCTAATGATGATACAAGAGAAGCCGTGCGTCGGGGGTCGTACCTTTTAATACGCGACACAACCCCTGCACACCTTCTTTACCAAACCTATCACCCCTCCAGTTATACGTTATAGTCGCAACATATTTAACCAGCGATAAACCTAGAAGCAGTTAAAAATCGACAGCCTGCACAGTACGTTGATTACGATGAAAGTAATTTTTAATTAAAGCAGAAGAGAGAAATACGCTAAGTGACGGTGACGTTTGAAAGTCGCGCAGTACTTAAAAACGGTATACCTAGTTGAAGATAGGGAGTTAAATATAGACAAAATCGTGGGTTTCTTCGTCGGAGCATTTACCCCTCTCATAGCATCTTTTAGAAGCCGAGGCATTCGTTTTCATCGCGTTTCTCGATTTGCATTTTACTTCCTTTCTTCTTTTTTCCCTCTCAATCTCTTTTTTTCTTCCTCCCATCTTTCTTTCTTTCGTTCTAACTTGACGACCACGGCGACGACGAATGCCCAGAACGTTAGGGGTTGGCCCAACTATGTTTAGACACGGTTTCCCGTTATCCTTCCTGCAACTTTTCGTTCCCAAAGTTCGTACAGATTTTTCAACATACGCAACTCGAGCGAAGAATAACTTGAAATACTGATTTATAAAGGATAGTAGGGAAATTTAATTATTTTCTTGAGTAAAAGCAAACAAAGACAGCGTTAAAATAAAATATATCCCAGAGGATTCTGCAAGTATGGCGCACACGAGAATATAAAATATATCAAGCGAAGGCTTTTGTTACCTATAACAGGGTCAAAAAGTTTTCAACGAGTTTTCTTCGAATAATGCTGACAACGTTGTTCTCGATTGATCTCGCGAGAAAAGGAAACGTCGAACGAGGTCGATGACGAACTGCTGTTTCAACCTGTTTTAATCGCTAATGTTCATCGCTTTACTTTGCTTCTTTAAATATACCTCCAGCAATATTGCATTTCGAACAATACGAAAATAATTCAACGTTGCTCTATTTCTTGGTAGCTACGTGTTAAAAAAAAAAAAAAAGAAAAAGAAACAAAGAGAACTGAAAATGAAACAAACTTTGTTCAATATATATTTCATTTTTTTAATGTTGAAATGTATCAGTAAATTGCATATTATTCTGGTGCTACAATGAAATACTTTGAAATCGTCGACACCAATTAATAAATTAGAAAGGAATGCACACGTTCAAGGAATGAACCAGTAAAGCAATATTTGAACGCGTACGATGATCTCGGTAGAATAGTACAGGGATCGACTTGGCTTATACGCGGCTATTTATATTTTTAAGAGACAAGGGCGAAGACCCGATCCAAGGATTTGTCAAAGATGCGTTAAAAATTGATTCCATATCTGTTGTTGAAATAAACTTATCAAGAAATAGTTGAAATCAACACTGAATATAAATAAAAAGATATACCATAAATTATCAATATTTTGAAACGTTCCACTTAAAACTTTTCATTGTATACTGACAATAAAAATTGTAATTGACAAAAATTTTGATAATCCCCAGAAAAAAGAAAGAAGCAAAATGAAACGGAATGAAAAAGAAGAAGAAGGAAGCGAATAGAAAAGAAAAGAACGAGAAATCAATACCAAACGATTTTGTTACTTCATATACTGTTTCAAGATTACATGGTATTAAAATGTACAGTACGATAGAAGGGTCAGGTTCAAGAACAAACTATAATCGAGAAACGGGGTTTCACGACTCAAAGAGCAGAAGAGCACGATGCACAAGAGAGCAATCACTGGCGAATGTCGTGGTAAAATTAGATACACTATATTCGGTTGAACGTACATACAATGAAATTGTAACGGTCCCTGCTAAATGTCCACCAACTATCATCCTGATCGATTTTTCAATATTCTTTAACAATACTTTCTATCAAGAAAAATAATGTAAAAAAATGTGAAAAAGTATCTGTTCTGAAATCTATACCCGGTGGTCCAAAACCTACTTTACATGTACGTAGGTACCCAAAGTTCCTAAAGAAGACACGCAATTCCATTCGATTCGATTCGGTTCGATTCGATTCGATAGAACCTCCCACACTTCGTACGCGAGTTCTTCCGGATATTACAAGCATCGAATAACTCCAACTTTCTCGATGCTCCCCACGTCCTCTCAATCATGATTCATACCGACAAGTATGCCTTCCTATCTTGCGTATGTATGCACGGATTACCTCTACGAGATCTGTAGGTACACGCACCTACACATACGTATCCTCATAAGCATTATCACATCAATCGTTTTTCACCGTATTATCTACATTACCGTATAAACCCGCACGAATCTATTCGTTGCCTTTATTAACCCAAATATTATCATTCTACGGGAATATTAGATTTATCCTTAGAAAATTTTCAGGCAATTAAATATACCGCCAAATCGGTGTTTTAATTCCACTATACGTATATTTAATGCCACGCGTGATGATCTTATATATTTTATCGGTAGAACGTACCAGTGAGAAATAACTGGAAAGTTAACGCGTTATATAGGTTCGACTTAAAATAAGTAAGTATGCGAATGAATTCACGTCTCGGCTTCTTTCCGCTCTGCCAAACCTTCTCGTGCCCGTCATCTATCTACATAAGCGTGTTGTGAGTCACATGAAACCTGCTCACACGTTTACACCGTACTCTTCGCATACAAAGTGACCCATACGTACTATATACTCCGATACGTATGAATGACCGCGTATATAAATTTATGTTTTTTATCATATCCGTGGTTAACATTGAAAACAGTCGAATCAGACTGTTGGTATAAAGACAAGAGAACTTTAAAAGTACTTGGTGCGAACTTTTTGTGAAAGAGAGCAAATTGCATGTATAGTGAAAAGAAATATGTAAATGGTTCGTGGAAAGAGGGTTGGCGTTCCAAGAAACAGAAGAATACCCTTATAATCTTATTGAAATTACCGCATTTCGAAAAATTACAATAATTATCAGTCTTTCTTCCATCCCTCCTGCGGCAACCCTATCGGTTCTCCCTCCGATCGTTCAACTAGACTAGTGTTTCGCGTGCACGCGCTTCCTTCAATTTTAAGCAACCCCGTTTCCCCTGCTTTCCCTGACGTGCCCACCTATAAATATACACAAGGGTTGTTCATTCAACCCGAAACGTACAAAACGGATGACGAAATAATATCGTCAATTGTGGTCGTAGTGACAGTTTTCGCTAGATACCGCGTAGACGGATTATTGATCCAAGTTCTGGGGACTGCGGGGATGTGGCTGTAGGCCGATCTAACATGCGCATGCCGCACCAACTTACACCTTTTTCCTTCTTCCACGCATTTATCTTCATTTTATTTCCCGATTTACGCACGAATCTCGATTCTTTCCAAACTAACATACATTGCGTTTTCTTATCCGCGTAAGGAACGTAACGCGCAGGTGTTCAGGGCAATGCGTTGCACGAGTTACACGTGCACGAGTAATTTACAAATCCTCGGTCATTAACAATTAACGAGTAATCAAAGAATACCTCTATATACCGATCGATTTCCTTGCTAATAAGAAGCAGGTGTTCGCTTAAACTCCGCCTAGCAACAGGAGAGAAAGAAAGTAACCCATCGAGGCGGTGGATAAACTAATTCGATAAAAGTACCGCGACGAACTTACATCGACGTACAGGAAAATTAGATTTTATAAAGAGCCCCGGTGCGATCCTGTTAACGCGATGTTAGTCAGGGGAAAGGGAGTTTAGAGGATGAAACTGGTCGTATGCACTTACCTTTTGCGAGGCGATTCAAAATGAGATCTGTATGTTGCGCGGTATGAGGTTCTGGAAGCACAACGAGAAGGTAACAACCGCTTAGCGGCGATGGGGGTGGATGCTGTTGTTGAGAACCCGGTGGAACCGTAGTACTTCCGATCACCGGTGTAACCGGAGATGCATTTTGTTCAACATTTGTCGGTGATGCCGTAGTAGTTTCCCCTCCTCCACCTCCTCCACCTCCGCCTCCTCCTCCTCCTCCTCCTCCTCCTTCACCGGTAGGGTCCGTAGTGCTCATGGCTGCGGAAACGACAGATAAGATACTATGCGTGTATTATTCTGATTTACCGTGACCGATTCTTATTTTTATGGTCTAATTAAATAGCAATCAAACTATTACAATATTGGACCACCTGTCGAGATACCGAAATCGCTCGTTAATAAAATATCATCGGGGTAAAATCGATGATTCCCGGCAATTATGAACGTTTGTCCGAAAATCTTGTCTACTGTCGCTTCTTACATTCTATGTCTGACATATGACATCCTGTTTCACTTATTCTTCAACTTATTTTAATTAACTCATTAATACACGTGAGAAGGGGGTGTCGCGCACGCGAATCTATAAGACACGGTTTATTAAAAGAAATTATTCTATAAATTTATCGTTGGTCCGATAAACAATTTATTCCTTGTTAAATTATCGATAACAACCGATATTTGTTTAACTTGTTGCTCAATTTATTAAAGATCCACCGACAGCCTACCCTACATCATCTCGCGATGATTCCAATGATTTAACTAATCGGTGACGATAATTTGGAACGATCCATCGATGTCATAACGTGCGTACAATTTTTAGATAACACTTAAATATTAACAAATTACACCTGATACTAATCATTTGATTATGCGTGAATGTGTGTGTGTGCGCGCGCGCGTACATTCACTATATGAAAAATGAATATATATATATATTGTATGTTATATAATGCATTAAATATCGTATAATTACAAGAGGATTAGTAGCAACGAAAACAGGCTATTTTTACAGCTGAATCTTACCGAAGCAACAAACTTTCGAAGAAAATCTTCTATGAGAAAGTCACCGGGTTGTCTCACCGCGATTTCATGCGGACAATGTTGGCGTTGAGTATTGCGCAGGATTTGCACGTCCCTTTCCCTGAAAGGCGGTAGGGCTATATCCTACCGTCCAATTGCGCAGGACCCGAGCTTCTCTGCACGGCCTTAGATCATTGATCCAAATTCTGGCTAACCAACTAGAAAACAGGACATAAAATGTTTATTCTTAATTATCGATTACGATACGACCGTTCAATGATCCAACTAAAAAAAAAAAAATTTATGGATCGAAAGGATTCAAAGGACGATGTTACTAAAAGGACACAAGAATAAGAAAAGTACAATTTATAAAATATCATTTGTCGTTGCAACCTTCGTCAATTTCGCAATAATGAAAAATCAGAAAAGAAAGCAATTGTCACGACACGACAGTACGAACGTTCGAAATTAGAATACATAAGTTTCAGGCGACACCCCACTGTGTGTCGGCACTGCAGTCTACCCCCTAGTAACAACCCCCTCCTGCAGACCAGCCAAATACGCATACGACCGATAGGAAAATCTATACACAGGATGATTCTGAAAATCGCTATCAAACATTTCACCGACTTTCGATGACGATTATCTCGTTTCTACGTTTACAATGAGAAACTACTCTAAAATGCATCTACTGTTCGCTTACCTCTTTACGCGGCAGCGGCGTTAGCAGCGGCAGTGACAGCGGTACGTTCACTCGCGAATCGGACTTTTCGATATCCCAGCAATTTTTTTTCCTCCACGGAAACTGTAATCCTTCGAAGAATACGTTGTTGATCGAATGAAAAGAAAGCGGGAGAAAGGAAAAGAAGAAAAAGACCTCTACCTCGTTGGATTCCCTGCAGCCGATTAATCTCTGCCCTCTCGTACGTGGCGCGCGGTACGTAGAAAGAAGCAGAGGAGATGAGACGCGAAGTTTTAAGTGGAAGCAAAACAAGGGCAATGATAGTGGAACAGGAGAGCGATAGGGAACCGTGTTGCTAATAAAATGGCAAAAAGGAGCCGGAAGAGGATCGTTTAACGACACAAGTGACACTAAGAAAAACGTAACCGGATACGAAGCTGACGGAACGCAATGATGTATCTCGTCGTGACGAGTTTCCTCTTACGATATACGAATGTCTTTTTCTCCCTAACGTTTCAATCGACGGCAAAACTCGAATCAACTCGGCAGCAAACACTCGCGTTGCGGGCTGCCGGCTCTCTGACCAACTTTGCGATATCCTGAGTTGCTGCCACGCAAGCCACCCCTTCTCTTATCTAACTTCCAGTATCCCCACTAGCGATGCGCGTCACCTCGATTTTGCTCCAACTCGCGCACTTTAAACTCTTTCCTACCACCGTTTCGTCGATCCACATCCACCATTTACACACTAATACACGTGTACACCTCCCGCATATACCTGCATCCTGCTACATGCACCTATACCTATGTAGATAAGAGCATGCGCGGCTACATCGCCGCGTCATCGAAAAGTCGCAATGTAAGTAAGTACATAGATCCCATTTACATCGGCACATACGCGTACACACTGCATGCGCTGCTTCACGTATGCATCGAATCGTGTGCATGCATGTCCCATGCATGTGTGTACGTATATGTATAACTGACTGACTGACTGACACGGACGGCAAGCCGGCCGGCGCGGCGCGACGTCAGAAAACGCCGGTATCGGAGGAAAAGGACTCGTACCGGAAACGAGGGAAAACGAAGAGAGGATCGAGTCGCACTCTGCAGTACGGGTGCAGCATGCATTTAGGAGAAAATGTTACGAGGTGAAATAATGACCGGATGAAAAGCACGCGATACGCTTTGCCTGTTAGCCCGCCATGCCGCTCCGAGCCAAACCGAATGCCCCGCCGGCCGGCTTACTGTCCCAAATTAACAAATTCCAATTCCTCCCATCTTAATTTCCGATACACCATGGGATTGTACGTATGCACCTTCTGTCCACCAAATTTTTAAACAACTTTTTAAACAGCTTTCGTAGAAACGAATCGAATCAACGCGAGTATTTAATGTCCGACATTTATTTGCGCTGTTCGTTAACTGTAAGATGTAACCACCGTGAATCTTGTTAATATTAACGTTCAACGTGCTTGGGAAATTAAACACGTAACGGGGAAATGAACAGGGTACGATAAACTGATGAATGCTTATCATATAAATTTGTCGCAATGCGGAAAGTAAGAATCTGTGCCCGTAATTCTACGCCTTCGATTTATCCGTTCAGATAATCTTTTTTCCTTACTTTCCACGAGATCTAATCTCCGACGTGTCTTTTGAGAAATTTATTTATTTACTAGAAATCGAATGAACGTAGAAAAGTACCATACACAGAGGTAATTGCATTAGAGGAGAAATTCGTAATTGGATTCGAATTTTTCATTCTTCGATGCGAACCAATTTAAGTAGTTGAAGAAGATATTTGTTTCCGTTTTAATTTTCAACTTATTCTGAACGGTTTGGCTTCGTAATGGCAGCAAAAGAGGAAAAACGTCAACCGAAGCAAACAATCGTGCCGTCGGTTTAACGCGGGATCAATAAACTCTTTCGTAATAGAGGATTTTCTCAGAAACTTATTGTCTGCAGCAGCCCATTTCGTAAATTTATATATAACATTTACCGCGTATATCGATCACATTTAGAAAGCATTCTACTTATAAATGGTTTCACACTTATATACTGAATGTCTCAAATCATTCTTAATTAGCGTTAAATAGCGTTACTAATTGTTTAAAGAAGCAGTACAAAATAGCTACATTCTGGACTGACTATTACAGAAATATCCCTGTTTTTAAAGGAGCAGAGATCTTATCTCGAAAATGCTACAACTTATCTTGACGTAAAATCGTTGTTTATGCTTATACTTATACTTACATGAATTACGTAAAGGATTGTATCTTGAAAAATAATGAATATTTTAATAAATATAAATCGTTTATTTCATGATTAGCATGTTATGTTTTAATTAAATAATATATATGATACATGCAATAGTTTTATAGTGATAAGAAAGAGGGCAATAAAAAAAAGTAATGACGTGATAAAAAACAGGACTTGCGAGAAAAAGTCGATTTATCGATTTGCTGAAATTTTTCGATTGCCGCATTGCATCGCAAGATCCCCAGTCCTGTGCTTACGTGACATTCGTACCCCGTTACTGGGACATTTATGTTCTAATTTTTCAAAAACCACTCATATTTCATGAATATTGTGACAAATATCTTTCTGAATATCTTCTGACTTTCTTCTTGGTTCTCGTCGTAAAACTTTTATCAAACGTCACTTTTAATTTTCTTTCCAGAACCATTCAAAGTAGAAGAGCAAATTTAAGAAATTTTCCGTAAACAGGCATACTTGTTTGATTTTTAATTAAAAAAATAAGAGGATTAAGAAAAAATAGTAACCAGAGTGTCGGAAAAGTGGTATAATTTAATTTCTTGAAATAACAAATTTATATTCCGTTTATTATTCAGAGTTCCCATCGTCGTGTACCTGTTTTATTATACATTTTCCATCAATATACGTATGTGATCAGGGTACGGGTTCAAATTTTCACGTCGCTGGCCATAGTGCGCGGCGCTAGTATTGACCGGTGCCCCTTACTAACCGTGTCGAGAATATCAGAAACCAAAATATAGCATCTCTTCGAGTCTCGATACTATCTCCTCGTCATCGTAATCACGATGTATCCCTGCACTTCCTGCTACCTTGCTCTACGTACCTGCGTGTGGTGACGTAGGTAAATGCATTCACGCAAGACGTCGCGACGCGTCGTGTCGCGTCGCTGCAATACATATGACGTTCTGGGTGCACGCGTTACATCCGTACACGGTGCACGTGTTTCAGTGAACCCATTAATGTCGAAATAATAAACAATTCGAACTGGCAACATTATATTTGAAAATATGCATTTGCAAAACGAATTGCATTCAAGTGCATCATTCGAATTCAACTGATTTCTGATGCAACGAGCATACTAATTAAAGACTTTACAGTCCATATTTAGTAGTACGGTTTTTAAAATGATACTTTTAACAGCTATAACGTTCTTGGCCTCCTTTTAACAGATTTCAAATTCCTCATCCGCGATAAAGCAGCTTCGCCCGCGCCTCTTCTAACGTCTGAATAACCAGCATTAACCAATTGTTCTTTAACCACCTACTTTCTCTGGCGGTTTGAAATTTCATCGAAAACTTCGTTCGTTACATTTTCTACGTTTCGATCGAATATTAATGGCACAATAATCTAGTAGCGGTCGTTTTGTTTTCAACATCAATGCTTATTTCTTGTTATACTTATGAGATCCACTATCTGATAGAGTTTCATAGTATTTTCTATGTGGAGATGTACATGTATTAAAGAACTATGATGGGTCGAAAAGAGCAAGTTTATCGAAAACGGTGGAGTTGGGCGTTTACGAGGCGCCACGACGACGGCATCTCATCGATCTGACTAGCCGAATACCGCAGCCACTTACAATATACACAGACCGTGTATAGCCGTGTCATAGAAAATCCACGTATCCGCAGAGACCTGCCAACCACTGCAAACAGCATACCACCTCCGTTACTCGTATATCTTAGTAGTACTTTTAATCACTCGTGTGCTTCTTTGTCTTCTTAATCTTTGCTATTTGTCACACTTTATAACATGGTAGCTTGGCGTTGCATTCCAAGAAATTTTCTTTTTATATTTCCTCGTTTTTATTTCTTTTCTCGTTTGAAGTAAAGAAATTCATCTCGCAAATTAAATTAAAATATAAAAAGGCATCTCTTCCTGCGATGTACATGATCGTAAGTAGAAAGACAAAGTAAGGTGAAGCAAGGAAATAGAACTAACGCTATCATTCTACTATTTATTTGTTTTAAAAATTAACTTGCTGGTTTCAAAAATGCATTAGACAAACATTCGACCTAAACACGGTATCTAAATCTACCCCCTGTCAGACAGCTACCAGGAGAGACCATCTAAATCTACCCCCTTTAAGGGTGCTTTTAGATGCCCTCTAGGTAGAATCACGCAAAGGTGAACTTTGAAAAATTGTCTCGCACGGAAGGTGTTAACATGATGTATAATCGTTGTATAATCACGGTGTCATTCTAATTTAAGTTTCGTTTCAAATTTATAACACCTAATTTTTCTCGATCACGTGACGTTCTATTTCTCCGTCGATATACTGTATATGTTGCAAATGTCAGAGGAGCGGTCAGAGGTGCTCTCATCAGCTCAACACATTCGCAGCTATTTGATCAGTTCAAAAGTATAATGAATTAATGAAGAACAAAGTAAAACGACACAAGTATTTATATAGAGGTAACATTTTTAATTCTGCTCTGAAATGTCGAGCAAAGATGAGGATACGTTTTGTAAACAAATGCGAAAAGCCACGAGGGAAGTTCATAAAATTAGTGACACTTTAGTGAATGCAAAATTAGCGTTTGGTAAGATCAATTATACCTGTATTTAACTTTCTACTTCTCGTTTGCTCGTAATAACATTATACAGTATAGGTTAACCTTATTACATTTATATTTATAAATAAGGATTCACCTTCTTTGATACCATATTTCTAAGTATTAAGGCAGAGTGTCCTATTATGATTCTTAAATGTTTATCTGAAACAGGATTTTTCGATGACTCTGTATGGGCAGATGGTCTGTTGGTCTTCTTTGAAATTTTTCGATACTTGGAATGTGCAATGGTCAGATTAAAGAACACCAACGTAGGATTATTTTTCCATGATGAACTTTGTCGTACAGAAGCTTTTAAACAAGATCTTGATTTTTATTTAGGAAAAGAGTGGACAAACGATTATACTCCTAGGTATGTTTCTATATAAAAAATACACAAGTGATGCATAAAGTTTTAGGGGTACAAATGAAATAAAATATTATTATTAACTTCAGGGAGAGTGTTGCCAAATATCTAATGCATCTACAAGAGATAGAGAATAAAGATCCAACATTGTTGATAGCATATATTTATCATCTGTACATGGGTCTTTTGAGTGGTGGAATTATTTTACGTAAAAAGAGACAGCTTATGCAAAAGATTTTACCCCAAAAGGAATCCGAAACAAATGGTAATAATGTTACAAGCTTTGCAAACAGTAATATCTATGAACTGAAACATCACATGAGAGATACAATGAATAAAATTGCTGAAACCTTAGATGATGATACAAAGAATAAACTTATTGAAGAAAGTAAAATGGTCTTTACATTAAATAACGAGATTATTAAAAGTGTGCGAAGTGTAGGAACTCCTTTTCTTAAAAAAGTAGCTTGTTTTATCGTCATTCCTACGTTAATTATTTTTGTGTATTTCATTATCTTCAAGTGACAAATTAGACTTTAAGATCTCTCGTATTTTTTTACTTTAACGAATGTACAGATTTTCAACAATTATACCACATTATTCGGAAAACAAATTTTTATTTTGCAACAAATAGATACAATGTTTCAATCGGCTTTTGATGGCTTATTAAACATTCAATGTATGTACATATGTGATGCCATTTAAAGTGGAAAATAAAATTTCGATCGTGTTTATCTACAATCCGCGGATAATGAATACTTCTCAGCATGTTTTTATCAGCTATTTACAATTCCGATCTGTTATATCAAAAATAAGTACTTGTAAAATAAAGGTATAATTTTCATGCTGAAAACTTAATTGCCATTAAATTTAAATTTATTGCCATTTTTTGTAGCATAATCTATAAACGCGGAAGTTGTTTAATTACTGCACATGATAATAAAAAGAAGAAAAAAAAGAATTTAACTACCTAGTAGTCACTATAAATTAGTAATGGTCTCATTGTTATATCATCATTGTATTTGATAAAATCAGTTGAAAACAAAGTACAGATTGTTAAGAAACTACTGAGATCACAAATATTTAAAATTATATTTAGTACAAATACGAGTATAAACTCATCGAGTATTACGCTTTTTCAACCCCTTTTGCCACCATCGCTCTCTTCCACTGATCACCTATGTCAAAACCTTTTTAATAAAATTTTATAAACAGTTAAGTATTGCTTCCTTATCGAACTTAAAGTGCGCCCAAATGACTGAACTTAGTTCCGTAGAACGTTGTTGAGTTTCTACGTAATTATCAGAAAGAAAGCGCGATGACCTACGATTCATTATCATAAACGGGGAAGGTATCGTTTTTAAATCTGTTTGTAATTTGTTTGTAGCTTTGTCAAATAACAAAGATTTTATATTTCCTTTAAAAAATTCACGATCTTCGAGATCATCCGATGCTTGATCTGAAAGAGGAAATATTATTTTTATTATTTAGCTTAAATTATAGTTGGGGAAGTGAAAATTGTATTTTGAAACGCAACCTTTTATTTCGTTTGTCGAAGCTTGTGCTTTGTAGCTAAAATCGTTGCACTTCACCGACTGAATAGCAGGGTCCATTAAAAATGTGCACGGCTGTTGACCTTGCGGACTGTCCGTTAATTGTTTAGCAAGAATGGCTGTTTCATCTTCAGTTTGTTCTCCAAATAAATTACGTTTAATTGCCGCTTTTGATATGACATTTTTGTTATCGTATATACCGCGACGATTTCGCGCGGGTGATGTATTAGATTGTCGAAAGTTTTTCACGTCTTTAAAACTGGCAATATCATTCTGAAAATAATTCATACTCATTAATGATCCTTACAAATACATATTATTGCAATCCACAATAGAAGTTTAATTACTTGAATGAAATGGGAAAGTGGTTGCTGTTGTCTTTTATTTTTTGAAACAGTCTCAACATCTCCAAGAGATCTGTGTCTGTGTCTTCTAACAGTATTTACATTTTTCTCTCTCAAATGTTTTTCTTGTATCCAACGTCTCATTCTCCTTACAAAAGGGATGACCATAAAAAATGCATTAGGACCAACTCCTGTTTTTACTTTTGGTGTCATATCTTTTTTATTGTTGGGTAGGTCAGCTAAAGAAAACCATTCTACATTTTTTATTTCTTTTCTTGTTTTTGGCTGAAATTTTGTGTCCTTCTGTACACCAGATATTATATACAATCTCACCAATTGTTCATTTATCACTGATTCTATATATTCGTTTTCATCTATTAAATTTGAAATGTCAAAACCAGTTTCCTCTAAAACCTCTCGAACAGCACAGTGGGATGGATCTTCATCTTCATTGACTTTACCTTTGGGAAAGCTCCAACTGCTCTTTGCCCAGTAACTTTGAACAAGTAATACTTTTGTTAAGTCTTCATTTAATACAATTGCTCCAAATGTTGGAACATTTTGTTTATATTCTCTCCATTGATCAAGAATATTATCTATGTTAGCTACATGTGGTTTTAAAAATGGTATGTGATGAAAGATATGAGTGGCAAATTCCCGCATACTACATGGTCGTAGTTTCGGATTTTCATCGGTACAATAAAAATCTAGATAAAACCAGTGAGCTAATTCAATTTGAAAACATATCCGAACCAAATCTTTCCTTTCTTCTTCCGGAACGTTGATGATAAATCGACTGAAAACATAAGGTATTTCGGATTAATAAGAAACGAATGATACTTTAAAAGAATAATTAATAAAAGCTAACCTGCTTAAATCGTCTAAAATATCGGATGGTATCGAATGTTCCGTCATTTCAGCAACTGTTAAAATAATTTTCCTGTTTATTACACGTCACCTTTAGTTGTATAATATTAGTTCTTTTACGATAAAACCTCCTGTAAACGTACAATCATTATGTATACATCATTGCGCACTAAACGTCAGTTTCAAAATTTCAACTTGTTCAAAATTATTATACTAATAATGTTGTTCGTTTTTTTTATTTTTTCAGCTTAACTCCTGCCATCTGATGTATTCTTCTCGTAATTATGGCCGAAATCTACTCCGATAGAGGTGCTAGTTTCACTTGTGTTGGGTGATTCGAAAATACGTTATGATCTTGGAAGTTGGAATGAAAGGAGTACGGAGGATAGCAATAATATTAAAACATATAAAAATTCTTAATGAGCCAGTTTATTACAATACAAGGTATATTTACACGAAACTAATTTGAACATTTTCAATACAAGTTACATTCATTTATGTCGATTTTAGTTGGACAATGTGGAAACCAAATTGGCTCAGCATTTTGGCCCCTGGCATTGCACGAGTACGGCATAGACACTGCAAATACTGGCATGAATTTACTTAAGATACAACGAAATTACATTAAAAATCTAAGCGATTTATCAGACGCGTTTCATAGCTTTTTTTTCGTACCCGACAATCGGCATGATTTTTGTTTCAAGACTGTAAATGATTTGAGAAGAGCTAAAGTTAAAGCCAGAGTATGTTATTTTCCTTCTTATAGCGCTATGGCAAGCTAATAACAAAGTAGCCTTAGTAAATTAATATAATGATCTTCCTACTATTTAGGCAATATTAATAGATATGGAAGATAGTGTTGTAGGAGGATTAAAGAGAGGTCCTTTGCGTGATTTGTTTGATCAAAAATGCACAGTGACTAATTACCCAGGATGTGGAAATAATTGGTAATTCTTTATTTAGATAACTGTTTTGGTTTCCAACTAAAAGTTGGATTACTTTTAGGGCTGTAGGTTATCATACTTATGGTAATGAATATCATGAAAAACTGGAGGATGCTATAAGACTTACAGTAGAAAAATGTTCACAGCTACATGGTTTCCTAATTTTGCATTCTCTTGGAGGTGGTACTGGTTCTGGTTTAGGAACAGCTGTTTTAAAATTACTAGCTGACAATTATCCAGTAGTAGATAGGTACTCCCATTTATCTTTTTTATTTACAATTAAAAATACTTATTTTGGTACAATGTTGGTAGTTGATTTTACAGATTAGTATCTTGTATATATCCAACAGCCATGCAAGATGTTGTTACAGCACCTTATAATGCACTGTTAGCAACACAAGAACTCATAGAACATGCAACATGTGTATTTCCTATAGAAAACACATCCCTCCTGGATATATGCAATGCACAATTGAGAAAGAAAGAGAATATAAATCAGCTGAACTATAATATTTCGTGTAAACCATTTCAAGACATGAACAGTATCATTGTAAACATGCTTCTCCATTTAACTAGGTATGTAATTCGATGTAATTAATATAATTAGTAAACGTTGAAAGAAAAATTATTTCAGTGGATCCAGATTTCCTGGTAGCTTAAATATTGATATGAATGAAATAGCGACGAATCTTGTTGCGTATCCGAAATTACAGTACATATTTAGCAGTGTTAGCCCGACAGCGTTAACTGGATCCTCAATGTGCACAACTCAGGGAACAAAGTACATAAGTACTTAACTATTCCTTGATTTTATTACATAAAATTACGTGGAACAAATATGATTTCTCTATTTCTGTTTTTAGATTAATCGACGAATTATTCGCTGATGCCTGGTCACGGAACAATCAGTTGATCAAAGTAGATCCGCTACAAGCCGATTCAAAAGTATTAAGCGCCGCACATATTGTCAGAGGGAACTGTTTTATAAGCGATTTAAAACGAAACATTGAAAAGTATGTGGCTTGTGCGTGTAACGAGCAAGAAGTCTATGTAAGATTACAACGGCTAGTACTAACAATTTACTTCTGTCACATCTCTTAGATTTCAACGGAAAAGTACGTGCACGGAATGGAGCAGAGATGCTATGAAGATAGGTTTGTGCTCTGTACCTCCAGCTGGGCATTCAACATCTTTGCTGTGCCTTTTAAACTCTTCCTCAATGTCCTTGTTGTTTAAAAATATAATAAAACAGTTTGTTACGTTATACAAGAGGAAGGTAATGTTCATAATCATAAACTATCATAATTGTTTATACGTGTACGATAATATTTGTTTAAACAGTACAATTACATTGCAGGCACATGTGTATCACTACACGCAAGTACGTGGTTTCGAAGAAGCACATTTCGTTAATAGCAAAGAGATCATATTGAACTTGATCGCGCGGTACACGGAACTAGAAAATCAGAGACCAACGAGTATATCACGGCTGCAAATCATTTAATTACGTCACAACAAATTTGGTAGTAAAACCTAAATCATATAAATTTTATTTATTAGTTTGATCTATACATTAACAACTTAAACACAATGGAATAAAAATAGTATATCTATCGGCAACAATGAAATATCGCGTTAGTGATCGAGAGACTCGCAATGCGCAAAAGTGTATAGTTGATCGGTTGAAAAATTTTGTTAATACTTTGAAAGTTTATCTACAGAGACGGCATTTCGAAAAGCTTTTCAAAGTCTCCCACGGGCCGAGCTTATTTAGGTACATATATCGATAAACACTGTGGTTAATTATATCGTTCGATAATGTTTTAACTGGCTGGTATTTGCGGCAAGCCAAACTCATCGACCAAGACACCATCCTAAAATGAATAAACGATTTTACAGTAATGAGCAGGGTAATTATCGAAATGACATCGACGAGGAAGTGTTTGCTAGATTGAAATTCATCGGTTATAGATACAAACCTTATTCCTGACCGAGCTAGCGCCCGGTTCTTTATCCGGAGCGTTCGGTGCTTTGATAGCGTCATCCAAATAACTAGTGTCTTCATCGATGGCTAAATCATCGCCAAGAGCTTCTAATTCGGCAGCTAATTCATCCTCGTCGATTTCTGGCATACCGTAGCTACGACCCATTGCCTCTTGAACTTCGTCGGCTTGTTCAAGCATATCGGCCAGGTCATCTTGAAGGTCCTAGAATGCACGTACTCGTTTAATGCAAGAACAGGAAAGAAATATTTCTCCAAAGATACCTCTATCTTATCTATATTGATATTTTTAAATTCCTTCTGCATCTGTTTAACTCCCTCTTTCATAGCGACCACAGTCGTTTGAGTATCTTTTAACGTTTGCGTCGCGTAATTTGCTTGTTCCATGTTAAATGCTTGTTGACGTAAATTATCAGCCTGTGCCTCGTACATTTTTCGTTGCTTTAAAACGCGTAATGCTTTAGCCTTTACTGAGTTCTTTGCGGGACCTTCTCTCATTTTAACCATCTGATCCTTGTATTTCTTTAGTTCCGCGTCCAATTTCGCTATCTTTTTCTCCGTGGAGTCTGCTCTACTGTCAACCTTTGGAAAACATAAAAGATAATTACGTTTCGAGCAAGGTAGAATGGTATCATAACCTGCTTAATGGGAAGATAAAATGTAATTTTACCCCAGCGATGCAATCGGTGATACTCGCTGCTGGTTCTTTGGGTTTAGCTCGACCGAAAAGTCTGTTCATTTTGTTAAGCGAAGCACAACTTTAAAGTTTGGAATAGAAGACTTATTCGTTATTCACTATTGTTCGAAACGTCAAATAGACTAGTTCACACTGATTCATTAGTTAACTCCTCCATCTGTCGAATAAAAGTAGCATTGAGGAAACCTTACAGGGAGTTCGGGACTTCCCCGTGTTATTAATTTTGTCTTTCATTCTCAGATGGAGCCAGATGTGCTGTTTTCAAAAGGCGCGTGGAAACCGAAACGAACTTCTTAAAAGTAAGCAAAACGTTGGGAATACATATTTCCTTTATGGTTTTGCAATTATTGTAAGCATGTAATTCATGAGATTATGGTTTTTAGATATGGGACGCGCAGCAAAATCCCTACTTTAGAGGAGGTACAGTTGATACATCAGAGCGTACGAACCGAACTCTTTTAAGATGATCTACACCCGGTCGACGTGAAAACGAATCAGGTGAGCATAGTCGTTTAAGTCGGTGAAGATTAGAGGAATGTCTCGGTTAGTAAGTGACCGAGCATGCAATTTAGTTTCCTCGTCTGACAGAAGAGGGAAAAGACGAGGCGCGCGCGTTGGGCGCGTAATTGAAACCGGAGAAGGGAAGATAGTTGGGTCGGTCAAAGGGAAATACGGTGGTGAGGATGGCTATGGAGGTTTTCTCTGATTATCGGTAGCGGTGGTGGCGGCGGCGGCTAAAACGCGGATACGAACGCGCGTGCGTGACCGATGTCGCCGCACGACGCAACAGCGACGTAGCGACGACGACGTCGACGAGGACGAGGACGAGGACGAAGCGGCGGCCGAAGATCGCCGAGCGCACGGGTACGCGAAGAGACTACGGCTGGTATGGTGAGGGCCGCGGCACGGCCACAGTGTTCTAAAAGTCGGCAGCACGCACGAATCGTATCAGGCGCGACGCAGAGCGACGAAGCTGCGTCGTCGAATCGCGGTCTCCTGGCCACCGATCGTGTGCGGCTAGCAGCTAGGCAGCCAGGGACAGCGAACAGTCAGCCGGCTGCTCGATTGGCAATCGAGCCAGTCTGCGTTTGCCGAGTCACGGGAAACTCGAGGCGACTTTGCGGAGGAACCGCTGCTGCTCCGTATCGGTTCTGAAAACGAGCGAGCGAATACGAGATAAGGAGAGAGAGAGAGAGAAAGAGAGAGAGAAAGAGCGAGAAGAAGGAGAACGATAGCGATAGCCCGAGCAAGAACGGGAACGGGAACGGGAAGGTTGTGCGGTAGCAGCGCGAGTGGGCAAAGTACGTGAGCTGCCAATGGGAAGAGGCGCTAGATCGAACGAAGACGAGACAAGGTGGTAAGCTTGGCGAACGCCCATAGGAGAGGAAAAACCCTGACAAACGGAGGGGTCGCGTCGCGAGGAAACTCGTGTCGTGTCGTGTCGTGTCGTGTCTCGCGTAGACGAGTGGTCCGTGCGCGTTCTCGTGGACGCGTTTCGTCGGCTTGCTTGTCCGTCGAAAAGAGATTGATCGTTTGGTCGATCGCGAGTGCGCCCTTCGGGCAGTAGCGATCCGATGTCGGTGGAAAGGAATCGCGGAACCGTTTGGTCGGTGGGCTGTGTTTAGTGACGTATCGGTAGTGTCCGCGTGCGCGGCAAGGACCAAGGATCGTTGAGAAGCTGCTTCTTTAGCCAAGTTGTTCGCCAAGTGTGTGAGTGTTTTTTTGGTTGCTAGCTGAATCGCCCGCGCGCTCCGACGCGTGCGTGTGCGTGAGATTCGGCTTTTTTTTCCACCGCATCGTGGAAGAGGGAAGGTCGCGTTGCACCGGGCCCGTATTTGGGAGCATTCCAAGTGGCTCACCGTTCGTCGAGGGAACCGATTATGTTCGCTGGGGGCGAGTGAACACCGGAAACAGTCTCGCTCGACCTTCGATTAACGGTGGAAGGTCCTCCGTTTCAGGGCAGCAGTTTCACCGGGGAGGTTTTGCTCATCGAACAATGAGGATGCTCGTGGAGCGAACGATCGCTCGATAACGAGGAGAATGCTGCGGAAGCAAAGTCGCTGCCGAATTGCACGGAAGCGACGCGACGTTGGTGTAATCTAATCGGTTCGAACGTTATTATTAGTGGATCGTCGTGTCCAGATAAGGAGCTAGGGCTAAAGCTGAAGGCTGTGGTTAAGAGTCGAAGCAACAGCTAGAGCTAGAGCTAGATCTAGAGCTAGAGCTAGAGCTAGAGCTAAAGCTAGGGTTAGAGGTAATACTAGAAGGAGAGACGGTGAGCTAGCGCGTGAAAGAGAGGGGAGAGGAGGAGGAGGTGGAGGTGGTGGAGGTGGAGAAGAAAGAAAGAGAAAAAGGAGAGCACGCGTGAGGTCAGGAAAGACGGGGTAGGATCGAAGCGCGTGCAAGGGAAGGAAAAAGGTCGAGGGAGAAACGAGGAAATCGAGCGAAAACGAGGAGAAGAAGAGAATCGAAAGAGAGATTGGTGTAGTTCGCACAGCTTCCGGGGCTCGTGGGTGTTTTTACGAGTACGCGGTGGATCGATAGTTGTCTCGCGAGCTCTGCTCGACGGAGCTGCTGTGGTCGACGACGTTCCTACCGGTAGGAACGATTCGATTCCAATTCGATTTACACGATATCAGCAAACGGAATCGAAGAGACGATCGGTTCCCGGCGAGGTAGAAGGAAACTCGAGCCTCGAACCAGAGGGAGTATCGCGCGACGATTACTCGAATCTTGAGTGGTCCCCGTGCTTTATGGGGGACTATAGCGCGACCAGTCTCTTTTCGAACAGCCTGTCCGGCACGAGCAAGTCGTCGATCGGTAGCAGCGCCAGTACCGTCAACACAGCCGTAACCATAACGACGTCAACGATGCAGGACGACCTCTTAATCGAGAAGCAAGCCAGTGGCAAAACTGCGCCTCTGTCGCCGAGCACCGGCCTGGACACGGTGGCCGGACAAGAGAAGACGAAGGACGTGGTCGAGGTCGAGAGTATCGCTATCGCGGCGACGACGACGCCCTCCTCTAGCGAGAAAGAGATCGCGTGCAGCACCAGCTCGACCCTCCAGGGTTTCTCGGAAGCTGGCCGGGTACCGAGCCTCTGGTCTGCCCCGGACGATACCGGTCTCCACGCGTTACCCGTCAACGGTTCGATCGGGGCCTTTCAAAATTTCCCTTCCGGTGGTCCGGCCGGTTTGTTTACCGGTGCTGGCGCGACCGTGTCGGCTGGCGCCCGTCGAGCGATCACTGCTAGTCATAATTTCCCTCAACAACACGGTACCACCACTGCTCCTACAGGTAGACACGGTCTTCAAGTATCGCCAGCGCAACAGCAGCAACAACAGCAGCAACAACAACAGCAACAGCAGCAGCAGCAGCAACATCAACAGCAGCAACAACAGCAACAGCAGCAGCAGCAACACCAACAACAACCAACAGCGAATACCCATCCAGGGGTTTATCTTCCAGCGAAAGGTTACGCGGCTTGGTCCGGTGGACCGCAAGCGCCTCAACAATGGGGAGCCGGACCGCAGGCTGCTGCGGTCGCGAGTCCCGGTCTTTCGCCGTGGAGCCGCGGAAGATCGGTACCGAACCTTCCCCCGTTGCACTCGTCCCTGCACGCCGCTGCAGCAGTCGCGGCTGCTGCTGGACTTCAGGGAAGGAAACCGAGTCCAACGTTTCCCGGTCATCCGGGACCGGCTGCTCATCCATCTTGCATCAGTCCGGTCAAGTTCAGGAGGAGTACATCCTATCCCGGAAAGGGCAACATATATCCGCCCCAACCTGCGCCCACCTTCGAAGTTACCGCCGCCGAAGAGAGGGACTTGCTTCAGTTGCCACCGTTCCAGCAGGTTTGTCCACTCGTACCAAATTCGATCCACGCGTCGTCGACCTTCGTGCCGAGCCATAACGCAACGAGCGTAACTGTCCTCTTGGAGTTTTCACGTTGCGTTATCGGTATCGATCGTCGCTTTGACTATGGTAACATAGCCACGCGGCGTCGGTGGCGGTAATCGCCCGATCCCGTCGAAAAAGCATACGCGCACATACACCGGTAGCCCCAACTTCCGCAGTTTCGTTGGTGCACGCACTCGATGCCAGGTTATGCAATCACTTTGAGGCTCTCGTTTAAATTTAGACGATACGTACAACGCTTGTTTCTACTCTCGCTCGTTGGATGTCGCACGGTCGTTTTCAACCGGGACAAAGTTTCTCGAAATTCGAGGGTGTCTTTGAATTACGTTTCATCGCCGATCGAATTTCCACCCTAGATCCGCGGTCAAACGAACGGATACGTGTAGGGCAAGGGTGTGTTTGCCGTTGGAACGCGTGGTCAGGTGGATATACGAACCTAGTTAGGAAGAGTAAACGGAAACGCAGTGGCTAGGTGAATCGGTATCGGTCGGTAATCGAAGAACGCTATCGAAACGAGGAAACCTTTCTTGATATACTTGTTTTGTCGTTGATGTCTGACCCAATTCCTTTGGTAACGCGGTGGCAGCTCTCTAACAGTGTCTAGCGAAACTTTAAGCTCGGCTATTTTAACCTCTTGTCGAAAATAGACCTGCATACTATCCGAGAGAAATGGCGGATTCCGTTGTACGAGCCATCACCCTTTGCGCACCTTGTTCCACGTTTACGCGTGTCCAACCAACGAATCCAATTTTGCCTTCGACTTTATTATTTTTCTTAACGGATAAAGTGTCGCGTCATACTTATCTATGCGTTTGCGTCTATATTTGCGCGGTCTTTACGTCGATCGCGATAGTTTATCAAACGTTCAAGTTTCACGGCTAACGTGGTAACTTTAACGATGAAATAACTCCGCATTCAAGTTTATCGAAACGTAGGCGGTTATACCAATTAGGAAATCGATCGGATTTCTGCAAGCCGTTCGCGAGTATCGTATCAGTGAACGTGGCTGTTCGATAACGATATCGCGTCGAATGATCTAAATTCTTTTTTTTTTTTTTTTTGCGAAAACCGTGGAGGCATTTGCCAACTCGCGTAAAACGCTTCGTTAAAAATATCACGAATCTCTTTCTGCCAGTCGTCGTTTCGAAAGAAGCGTATATTGCGGTAGAAAATAGAAGGGACGTTAAGCGAGCTAAGGCATTTTTGTGCGAACGTTGCGCGTTTCTCGGCCACCGATTTTCCATCGAAACGGACGCGCGTTTCGTTCCACGTATACGCGGAACATTAACGTCGATACGGCGCGTGCGTGAAGACACACGGCTAAACGAGTACCAAGGTTCCGAGCTTATCTCATAAATCGTTTGAAATTGGTAGAAGGAAAATATTGAGGTACTCTAGGTAAAAATACCGTGTACGCCGCGCAACAGTATATATAGATCGTTTGCATATCTTATTTGCTTCTTGACAATTTTCTTTCCGTCCTACGTCATACCCGGAAACGATTACGTGCGTGGAATTAACGCGTTTACGCGTCACGGAGCGCTGCCCGTCCGTGAGAAGCGAAACGAGAAACGGTACCGTGAATCTTTCGCCGGTTGTATTTCGCGACGATCGATCGATCGATCGATCGATCGGTGGAAAGGAATTCGCGGGAGGAAATGGATCGTGTTCGCGGTTCGCTAGAAGATTCGGACTACGAGTTCTATAGGTGTAATTTCTCAGTCGTCGTTCACCTTGGAAACGAATCGGAGCACGTGCGCCAGGCTGGCTCTACCTAAACAAGAACGAACCGATCGCATTCGATTACACGCGCCCTCGTTAACTCTTGCTTCTTACGTTTACATTTTACAACGGATCGAAGCTTGCTGGCGAGGTTGCGGTAACCTCGTTCGGAGACACCGTCGCGTCGCGTCGCGTCGATTCGAAAAACATTGGAGGCGCGCGAGGATAAAGATTTTTATTGACGTTACCTTGACGCAGTAGCGTTACACAGCGCCGTCGAGGTATTTCGTTACGAAACCCGTATGACTCTGACGAAACGAAAAGGTGAGCAACGTTGGCCACGCGTGCCAGATCAAATCGCTTCGAAAGTACTGGTACGCGTACACGCGTGTAAATAACAGCGGAACGACGACGTTTAAAAGCATCGCGATGCCTCTTCGTATCCTCGCCGGAATCGTCCGGTGGATATCGGAATGGAAAACAAAACCGAGGCACCCGAGTGTACACCCGCGTGTAATGTAGGCGGATGCACGTGGCATCTGGTAAATCGCGCTAGAAAATTGATAAATCGGTCAATTAAACGGACTAATCGGTCGATAGCAAGGCGGTAAAAGTAGGCGTGACAAATAAACGGGCAAGTGTCCCCGAGTTTGTCCGAGCCTAACGCGGCACGCGTGGCCAAAAGCGTTAATTGCGTTGCACTAACCATCCGGCGTAAATTCGTCCTTGAATCAGTCACTTAACTGAATAAACCTGAGAGAACAGCATTGCGCTACGAATTAGCTAGGAGGCAAAGTATTTTCAAGCAATTCCGATGTCACGCCGAATATCTGGACGTTAACCCAATTTAAGATCCCTTCTATTTGAATTCGGGACTGCGCCGGTGCAGACTGACCCGACCCGCTACGAGGTTTATAGGTCACTCTGCTTTCGCGCGATATAGATTTTTCGCGTAGAGCTGCTCGGTAGAAGCGTCGCGCGAACAACCGACCTCTTCGAGAATCGCGCTTGCTTCGCCCTTTTCAACGGGAAAACGATATCGAAGCTCGAAGTTGGCGCGCATGGAAATTCCCTTTCCGCCATGCTAGTGTATCGCGTTGTTGCCAGCGAAAATCCCCTCGCCATTATTTCGATACCCCTAATCGGATAAATGCACGCGCAAGATTTACCGCTCAACTCTCGCTAATCCGATCGAGGATTTCTCGAGCAGCTTCTCCTACGAGTAAGCATTTTTTTTCTTTTTTTTTTATCGAAGGCTGAAAGTCGATAACGAGCAAAGTTCGTATCGATTGGTTGCATCAGAGAAGCTCACAACTTATGTAATAAAACGCGGTAAACTGCAACGCGCGACGACCCTGTAGCGAAGCTACTACCGACAGCAAGAGAGAGAATGACGGCGGAGGGAAGAGGGTATGCGCACGACCACCCACTATCGAACGGTGACGTTGTCGCGTCTGTTTGCGTTAGCAGCGTGCCAGCGCAGCAGCGCAGCACCGTTTCGTTTCTAGCAAGGACGTCGTTAGAAACCCTTCGTGGGAGACCGGTAACCGCGTTCATCTTACGTTTACTCGCGAGCGAAATGTCGAAAACGACACCGAAGGGCGATGATAGGCAGGAATAGGGCGAAGATTGATATCCCGATAGTAGATCATGGTAGACAGGGTAGTCATTGATAAGGTGGCAAATTGTATTTGCAAGCGATGGATTGTCCGCGAGAAGCAACCAACAGCGACGGCAGCGCTCCACGTTCACCACCCTTCCGCCCTCACCCACTGTCCCACACCCTTTGCGTTTTCCCTTCCCTTTCCTCTCTTCTGTTTGCAACCGCCTCGTTTCCCCGCCCAGCGAACGGTGACCCAGTTCGCGCTACCCGACTGGAATCGTTCCTTCCGCGCACACCTCGGGAACCAGGTTACGCCGCGCCGTCCCGATCTATACGCTCCACGGACCTTTCCGCAGCCTTGCTCGATTCGCTTTTCAATGATCGAAACCTTCCGGCTCGGTAACCATCTAGCCCTTATTCGACAATTACGTTCTCCTCCAGCTCGTGACAATTACACAGCTTCATTTTCGCGAACGGAGAGTCCTAATGAATGACGCGAAAGAGCGGAAGGAAAAAAGAAACGACATCCTCTCGTGTCTTCCGTGTAGAATGGAGTTGGCGCGTTTTAGCAGGGGGGAGGACGTGAAGGTGTTGGATTGTCGCGCGTGTCTGGCGCGACGCGTAAATGAAAAACAGAGAAAATAAAAAGAGGCTGAAGGAGCGGGGCGCAACGCGTCGGTAGAACAACAGCTGGGTAGTACAAGAACGTTCGCGTCTAGACCGGCGGGATGCGCGTGGAAATGGTGAAGCCGGGGGACGAGTGTATGCGCGAATACCTGCACGCCTCGTAACTTCGCTAACCATCCCTTTGTTTTTCACGAGTGTCTTCTACCTGTTTCCGTCTAACCCCGCGTTTCTCATCTGCTTCGATTAATCGTGGAACGGCTTCGACGTCCCTTAATTCGGTTTCCTCGTCGGAAAGAAACGAATCGAGTTGTCGATCGTTGAACGCGACCTCGGTATGTAAGGACGGTCGAAGGATGCCACCGTTTTTTGTTGGCTGCAAAGTTTGGAAGTGGGCCAATCCCGCCGCAAACGCACGCTTTGCAACCTTATAGCGCAGAATCCTCCTTCGTCCTCCGTTCTCTTTTCCTTCTCGCGTCGCGATGCATCTTCAATATTTTGCCAGAAGAAACATTCCTTCTCCGTAAAATCACGTTTTCTCGTTTTCAATTCGAGCCGCGATTACCCACGGCTTAAACGAAAAGTCTGGATTCGTAAAGAGGAAAGAAAAAGAAAATGAATTGCTTAGACGAGTAGAAAGGCATGGGGGTAGGTAGGGAATAGGGAAGACGTAGAGAAAGAGAGGAATAGGTAGAGCAAGAGCGATACTGTAATGGAGTCTGCACGAAGGTTGCTGTCGACGCCCTGCCGCCGCTTCCTGGTTTTCCTATATTGATTTTCTAGCGTGCCCCTAGCGAGACGGAAAGCGAGCGAGGCAACGCGAGGGAGAGAAACGCGCCGGTCCGTGCTGTACTCGTGCCTCGTGCCTCGTGCTCGTGCTCGTGCCCGTACTCGTGGACTGCACACGAACACTAACATCCGCTTCCATAGCGTTTACACGTAGGTTTTGCGATATTCCAGCCACATTTGCGCGAGTGTGTGCATCCGTAGAAGGGGAAACCGCTTGGTATAGTGGGGGTTGGAGAGTCCGTGGTCCGTGTAAGAGGGTGGAAAGAGTACGCCCCGGGGTTGCAGCTAGCACGAAGGAGACGCAAACACGAAGAAGGTGGGGCCTACCTTTTGCACCTCCGCCCGTGCCATTCGAGAAAGATGGAGAGCAGGATTATCCGACATTGAGCTCGCGCGCTTTCCTATTCTTCCTTTCTCCCTCCTCGTCCCTCCCTTACTTTTCCAGCCCGCTACACCCCATCCTCCGCCACCCCGTTCGATGTATTTATTTCGGTATCCTCTTCTTCTTTCTTCCGCGCGTTTACCGAATAAGTGTCACGGTCATTTTCGTTTCTAAATACCAGTCGCCGTGAACCTTTAAACAAAGGTGTCACTTCGATTTTCCCCTCGCCGTTCGATCTCGACGAACTGCGGCGAGGACGCGTTTACGATGCGTGCTCGACCAGCGAATACGTTCCAGGCGACGAAGCGTTGCTTTCTCCTGAAGCGCGTCAAGTAGTAAAGGACGACGCGTGGTCGGACGATCGATCACCTACGAACCTACGTATACAAGCAACGGGAACTCGCCAGTCTTCGTATCGGCGCGTGTTTTCGCGCGGTAGTAACCCTGTTATTTCTACCCTCGATTCGCTGCCCAGTTTATTTCTTTCTAACGTTTCATCGTTATGTTTCAGGATCGTATGACGGCTAATGGAAATTCACCGTTGGACAGTATGAGAACGTTAGAGCATTACTTGAGCGACATCATGCGAGCTGGTGCCGCGGATACACCGGAACACGTGAAGGGTGAGTCGATTTTTTAATTTTTCCGAGTCGACCAACTAGTCAAATTCGAATGATCGTTCGGGGAAGGAAGAGTTTGGTATTTAGAAAAATTTCTGGTCGGTTTAGAGGAACCAGTCAACTTATCCGTCCAACGAGATCAACGAAACTGTCGAGTAGCCGAGTACTTAACGCACGCCGCTGCTCCTTGCCACCCTCCACTCGACGGCCGACTTTGTTCGCTCCACTCGCTCTGTCTTGCAGATTCTAGCGCGTAAATCCACGGGTTCGGTTAGCGAGCCAACGCGAAGACAAAAGTGGACGAAGAAGAAGGAGTCGAGTTCCGAGCGTTTCGCGTCCACTCTCTTTCTCTTTGTTTTCCCTCGGTTCGTCGCGTCGCGTCGCTTTCTTTTTCGCCAGTCTAGCCACCCTGTCTGCGAGCTCTCGCAACCCTCAGACAAGCGTTCTCGCGCCTGCAGTCAAGGGCAAGGGTGGTGCCGTCAGGCCTCTCTTCTTCCTTAGTGCTCGTCCACACCGAAACCGTACGACGCCGTCGTCGCCGACAACCACGGGAACGCGGTAAAGTGGGCCGCCGACCAAGTTCCTTTGCTTCCACGCTTGCCGACAACTTTTCGTGCTTATAGACAATCGTTGAATTTGTATTTTCGTTATGCAACGCGCTCGTTACTCGTAATGGATCCTCGGGTAGAGAAGCGAGGAAGAAAAAAAAGATGAGAAGGAGCGACGATCGAGAAGAATGCAAAAGAGGCGACGGGAGCAGGTGACATCTCCGCAGACCGGCGACTTCATTGTATCGCGTAATTATCGTTTCCCTTAAAGACCAGAGACCCTTCGAGGGATGTCCGTCGAGGACGAGCCAGTCTTCACTGTTACTTTTTCTTTTTTTTTTCTACCTCGCCGCAGACCCTTATCCTCGCAATTAAAATCTGGTCGGAATCGAATCACCGTCAGGGATAACGATCCTCGGCCAGACAGCGGCAATTGGTCGGGAACAGAGACACGGATCCGAGCGACAAGATAGAGATTCGTGATTCCTTAGCTTCCTTGGGGTGGCAGTTAGCTCCCTGAAACGGAGCTGGTTAGTCGATACTCTTCGAGGTATCCGCGTTGAAAGCGTAACCTCTTTTCGGCAAGGTGGTAGATTGCTGGCTGGAAAAGGAGAAACAGCGCGGAGGGTAGGATAGGATGGGATCGTAGTACGTACGAGTCTTTATTCTAGAACAAAAACCTCTCTCGAGGCATTGTAAGGTTCCGTTGAGTGGGCGTGCTTCTCCACGACGCCATCTTTGAAAGTGTCAGCACGCCACTTTAAACTGCACTAGTAGGTCAACTCTTGTAAAATCCAAGTGTAACCTCGTCGTGTTCGTGGACGTGGACAGGTCGTTGCGAGTCTATAGGAAAACTCTGAAATAGAATTCTTTTTTCATTCCAATTTCGGTTTGATTCGCGAGTCGTTTCGAGCTCCGCGTTTTCCAGCTGGATCGATATCGCGAAATGGATCACGCTACACACGCCCGTAACGATCGCGTGTTTCGCATCGATAAGATCCTTTTAAAAATAAGCGAATCGATTTCGCGTTTGCATGTCGCGTTTTCGCGATATCGCTGCTCCGAACGACACGAACGATGCAACGGGCTACCGTGTTTGCCGATCAACCTTTCGTTCGCAACCGTAGATCTATCGGTGCTCGTTGTGTTGCCTTTCGCTCGATCGGGCCGAGGTTGTGCAAACCAGACCAACGCGGCACCGTTTACGAAGATGTCCAACGATCGATCGAACGGACTCGGTGCGACGACGTTTCACGATCAACGGCCAAGTAGCCGTCAACTTGGCGTCCTTCGGCGACCGACTTGAGGCTATTTTATAGTTGCATTTTCTGACCTACATATATCTGACTATATAACGCCTACGCAAGCCGAGTAATCCGTAACGACGATAGAACGGTAAGAGGGGTGGTTTTAACCCGTCGCTCTCCAGCCATCTAGGGTTTCTCTTCATCCTTCGCCTCCCTATCAGCGCGACGTATAACCGGCTAATACATGTAATTGAAATGGTGAATGAATAAAGGGAGCAACCTGTGAATACGGGCCGTGCGTCGGAAATACCATTCGCAAAAGAAAGCAACGATTAATTTCACGCCTGTTTTTCTTCCCTTTCTTGCCTACAAAACAATTGACCGACTTTTTACACTTTTCCTTCGACGCTTTTCTTGCTGACACGGCGAACCGATCCTCTTTCGGTTTCGAATAAATCCGCGACGCGTATTCTTTCACGCAGAATGCGATAACATAGTCGAGCCTGAATTACAGATAATGATCCGAAAAATGAAGGTAACGTCCGATAACGAGGTAACGGTGCAAACAATAAAGGCTCTAAAGCGATAAGGTACGATTGGACTAAAAATAGATCTCCAAGAAGGAGAACGAGGAAATAATCCAACGAAAACTCGAACATTCTGTTACATTACAAAATTATTATTTAATATCAAAAACGTAGAACGTCTTGTCAGATTTTTATTTTTAATTTTTTATATACGTAATATAGATAAGTGGACGCTTGGTAAATGAAAGAAGGAATGAAAAGGCGTTTGGATCGTTTTTCATAGAATAATGTCATGTATTCTGGTGCGGTCGAACGTGGAAAAGCTGCGCGTCGACACGGACCGAGTACCGACCGAGTACGCGTATCCTCGAAATGGTTCGTCGGCTAGGAAAGATACACGTCGCCATCTCTAGGTGCTCCCTAGAAGGAACCGCGATCATTTCGTATGGCGCTGGCGGGTCACACTTTCAAATCTGAAATCGAGCTAGCTAAAAGATCGTCGTCGAGGAAGGATTTGTATAAATTTCGTGGCTCTTCGATCGATCGATCGTAATGAGTGTAGGATACGCGTGAGAGATGTTCCTTTCCGAATCGTACGTTCGATGCTGACCGTACGAAATGGTACAAGGGCTTATTTAAATTCGATCGGAATTGGCTGGTTGCCTGTTGACCAACTGCCACAGTCAGCCGCATTGCAGTGACCTGCAACGTTACGGTTCGCGCCTCCGAATAGGATTCGATAACTCAACTTCTCGATTCGTTAGCTTTTTTCCCCCGTTTCATTCCGCCGGTTCGACTCGCATTGTTTCCTTGACCACGGTCAAATTATAAATAAACATTGGCCGGCATCGAGCGGGCGGGCAACCCTTTGTATCCTCGGTGCCGGTGCCATTAGCGACGTATATTTAAGCCGCTATACAGTCCGTCGTCGAAACAAAGCTCCGCAAATATCCTGGGGGGACAAAAGGCTTGCGTCAAAGAATGAAAAGGGTAAAAAAAGAAGAAGGGTGAAAGAGCGAGAGTGGATGAAAGCGTTAGGCGGGCGAACGAACGAGGCGCGGCCAACGCGACGATGCGACTAACGCCTGGACATCGCGGAACCCCTTTTCTTGGCCTTGCACCTGAAACCTATCAAGGTCGCGTTTTCAATCTTACGTCTCGTTTCATTTTCCACGGAATACCCCAGCCGCGACGTTCCCGTTAAATATCTTATACCCCGTCGACGAGCAGGGGAACGCTGCCTCTTACTCCACCGCGTTTTTCCCCGTTTTTCAAACAAGAATCGAAACTCTTTCATTTTCCACCGCCGCGTTTTGTCGCCTCTACAAAGGAACCTTACAAACGTATCTGGAAACGATTCAAGATTTTTTACCGAGCTAGGAAAATCACTCTCCGTGGCACGATATTATTTCTAGCTCGATTTCCCTTACTCGCCGACGACCGATCCGCCCGTTTCCTATCATTTTTTTCCCGTTTCTTTCGTTTCTGGACGCGCTCGGTTGGAACTCGAACGAACCTTCCACCTTTTTCTCCTTTCCACCTGCAATAGTTTTTCACCCTTTTAATTATATTTCCATTCGTTCCTCGCCGATACGCTAGCCTCTCTTCGCCGCGTGGAAGGATAAACGTAAGAAAAGAAGGGAAATTAGAATACCGAGTGAGAAGTGAAGGAAAGAGGAAGAGGGAACTATCCGATGGGCCGATTTCATCGATCAACCTCTCCTTCTACGCGACCGCACGCCAGCTATCCATCGGCAACGTCATTTGCGCGTGTCTAGGGGGTGGGTCCTTTCCTGGCTGAGTGCAACGACCCCCTCCTGCCGTTACTTTCCCCGTTGTTACTTTGAGCCAGCGTTTCTCAAACGCCCAAACCACCGCTGTCCTTCTTTTCACCGAGAGTTTAAAATAATCCATCGCTCTCGCCTCTGCTTTTAGTCTTTTCCATTGCTTTCCGTGTTTTTGCCGCATTCGCGCGGTTCCGCGACTTTCAAAAGGCAAAGAATCAAGATCGCTGGTAGAAATTTGGGAGAGTTTGAGAAACCCTGCTTAGGGTGACTAAAAGGGCTAACGCTCGTAAAAATTGCTACCCTCCGATTCGTAGACTAGTTTCCTGCGTCTCCAGAGAAATTAGAGACTAGAAGCTGCTTCGCATTCTAACCAAAATTCGAAACTTGCCTGACTTTATTCCCTTCGGAAATGTTTTAAGCTCGATCAACACGCAACCGGTGAAAATACCGGGGACATGAAAACTCGGTAGCGAAAAAGCGTTCTCGATCCTTTGCTAAAAGTACGCATTCACAGATGATTGCTGGAAACATTTCTTCGAGAATTTACAAACGTATCTCGTTTCCACGTTGAATCCTTTCATCCGATATTCACTGTTTTCCCACGGTTTTCGTTATCCCCGAACGGTCGCAATTTCCGCCGACTTTTCCCGACGTCGCGTTTCGTACAACGAACGCCCCGTCCAATTATTTACAAGAGCGAAAACGCAAACGAACGACAAAAATTGTTACGCAACCGTTCTATCGTGCAGCCTTCGACGAGAGAGCAGGAAAGAGAGAGAGAGAGAGGGAGAGAGCACGGTTAAAGAAGCCCGACGAATAATGGAAGAACGAGCGTTACATAAATTCAAGGATACCATGCGCAGCATTGGCTATCCTATTCGTTACGATACGGTG